TTCAGCAGAGAGACTTTCCCCGCTTTGTTTGCCCAGACTCTGGCATCACATGAAGTTATGCTTTTATTTTAAAAATTGTTTTAAAGTGTGTGTGTGTGTGTGTGTGTGTGTGTGTGTGTGTGTGTGTGTGTGTGTTGCACATGACTGCAGTGCAGGTGCCCACAGAGTCCAGAGGAGTTAGATCCCCCTGGAACAGGTTGTAAGCGGCCTGATGTGGGTGATGGGAATTGAATCCCAGTCCTCTGGAAAAGCAGTTTGTATTCTTAACCACTGAGCAATCTCTCAGGCCCCATGTGGCCATGCTTTCATTCTTAGAAATTACAGAGTAAAACTTGTTAATATAATGGCTCACTCTTGAATTCCTCCATAATATTTTTCTAGTTAGAGCCAGTACCTGGAGGCCCACAAGCTGCAAGGCTGATTCTCCATGCCCCATACAACACACTACCTCCTCGGTGAGCACACTGCTGAAGATTGGATCGGGACACACTGACATTATTTTCATTATACATCTTATCAGAAGCTGAAGCCTTCAAAAGTGCAACCTGTGCTGGAGATGTGGCTGGGGCAGTGGGGGCGGGGGGAGTGCTAGCCTAGCATAGGTTCAACTCCCAACACTGCATTAAAATAAATAAATAGAACAAAACTGGGAGTGGCAGTACAGGCCTATAATCATAGCACTTGGGAGGTAGAGACACAAGGATTGCAAGTTCAAGGTCATCCTAAGCTTCATACTGAGTTCAAGGCCAGCCTGGGCTACATGAGACCATGTGTCCATGAAATAACCAAGCACAATCTTCTCCAGCACCCCTGGAACTCACAACCCTCTTTCCTTACTATTTAGAATGAGAATTTCCCCTGATGTTTCCTAATACCATGCTTTTCAGAATGAAAAAGATATAGGCACTTCCTCATCTAAACCCTCAATAGATCACAGATCAATTTTAAAGAAACTAAAAACATTAGGCAAATAATTCTTTAATTTTGTCTCATCCATTAACACATGGACAATAATTCGGATTCTAAAATACAAAACATCTAACTTGGCTCTTTTGCTGATTGTTAAAGTAGAGGAAGTCAGGGGGAATACACAATTGTCAAAACTTTAAATATTTTGCAATTAACCTGGCTGATTCAGAAGAATGAGATGCAAATCCTCATAAATACATCATCTTCCTCAAGCTCCAGGCAGAACTTGGCAGGGGCAGCAGCTGGAACACCCTTCTAGAAAAGAGACTCCCTCTGTTTTATGTGTTTTAGTTATTGAACAGGATACAGAAGGTCAGAAATGAGACAGGCAAGAGGAAATGCAGAGACCAGAGAACATCCCAGCATATCTGGGGTCACAGGCCTTGTGAATGAAAACAGATGCCCCAGATAAGGATGTTTGTTCTCAACACAGACTCTGTATTGCAAGCCTGTTGAAGTGCCAGCATCCAGTCAGACTACAAATTCTATCCCCTCCTTCATGTTTGCTCACAAGCTTAACTTCACAGGCTCTCATTTCAAACTGAGCTCAATCAAAGCTCAGTTTCCTACAGAAGGAAAGATGACAGCTAGAATTATCAAGACCACTGTGTATGTGATCTGAGCAATCCAGAGAGGGATGTAAACACATGGTACCACACACAGCATAGCCAGCCACCAGAGAGGTCTCAAGGCCATTTCTTCTACCAAAACGGACTTGCTGGAGTGAAAACACTTACATTTACTTTGGCTTCAGCTCTAATATTAATGTTTCAAATTAGGAGAAAAACATTATGAGTGAAGAACCTTCTTACAATAAAATTCCCACTCCGAAAAGCTTATCATCCAAAACCATGATTAAGGGGAAAATTATCCAATGTGTTTTCTCAGGAACTCATGCCATTTCTAATAGGAACGTAGACCTTGACACATGCTAAACCATCCTTAGAAAGACTGATGCTTAGTAAGTGTTAAATGCTGCTGTAAATGGATCAAAATGAACTCCAAATAGATTAGGGTTGAGGTTTTCAAAAAATTTACAGAATCAACCTACAAACAACAGTGAAAAATAATATTCATAGATCTTTGGATAAGAATTTTAAAATTTAAAACTATAAATGAGGCTGAGTATGCTGGTGTGTACCTGTGATCCCAGCGCTTGGTTGATGGAGGCAGAGGATCATGAATTCAGTTCCATCCTTGACTGCATACTGAGTTCAAGGATAGCTTGGGCTACCTGAGATCCTGCCTCAAAATAAAAACAAAACAAAAACCAACCAAACAAAAAACCCAACCCAAACCAAACCAAACATAAAACAGCCAGGCATGGTGGCACATGCCTTTAATTCCAGCACTTGGTAGGCAGAAGCAGGTGGATCTCTGAGTTGAAGGCCAGCCTAGTCTACACAGTGAGTTCCAGGACAGCCAGGGCTATACAGAGAAACCTTGTCTCAAAAAAAAAAAAAAAAAAAAAAAAAGAAAAACCAAGAAAGATAGAACAAACAAAAAAAGAAACAAACCAACAAAGAAAATCCAACAAAACTATAAATGAAAGTAAAAGATCAAATTATTTGCCAATATAAAGTTATTTTATATTAAGAAATAAAGGAAAATACCAAAAAATTGAAAAAATATTTTAACATTTTGAACAAAATATTTTAATATCTCTTAGAGTATTAAAAATAGCTGAGAATCAGTATAAAGATGAGCAAAGGACAAATTTACAGAAAGAATAGATAAGAATTAAAGAGACTTTTCCAGCATTTAGCTTTATCAGTCCCCCAAATCAAAGCAGAACAAAGCAATGATGAAATACCAGTTTGCAGTTAAACGTCAAAGGAATATTTAGAGCTCAGAACTTCACATGGGGCTGGCGAGGCATGGGAGAAAGTAAAGCGTTACCACACTAGTCCATTGTCAGGCTGTAAGGAAACAGGCACTTCCACATATTGCTGCTGGAAGAACAAAGCAAAGCCATTCCTAAGGAACACAACTTGGCAATGCCCACCAAGACTACAGACTCATTCAGTCTCTGACCCTCCCACCCAACTGCTGCCATCTATATTTATCCTGTAAATATGGCTTTTCCTCTACGCAATGGCAGGGACGTGAGACTATTCACTGCAGTAGTATCATTGTGAAGTGCAAGAGGACTGTTGAAATGTGCTGTGCTATGGCCACAATCTAGGCCTCTAAGGGGCTATGAAGCTTTCTCTGCACTAACATGGAAGGACTCAAGATTACCAACACAAGCAAATCATACTAACACTATCTTTGGCATAAGAAGACAAAGAGATAATGTCTATACACCTCATTATAGTCTTTAAAGTTCCCAAGATTAAGTTCATCTTATCACACTATCTACAAACATATCATTCTGCAATGTGGTTTATAACACTAAAAATATATAAATTTCCCAAAGAAATAATAAGGCAAATTATGGTAATACGTGCAATAAAATATTACTTCTACTGAAACTCATTGATGGTGAGTTTAGATAAAGGTGCATTTTCCTTAAGCTAAGATGTGACATTAAAAACTCATAGCATATGAATTAAACATGTAATATGGACACTAAAAAAGAAGAGCTAAGGTCATCTAATTAATGCTCAGAGCACAGCCCAACATCAGCGGTGTTCTAGGTGACAATGTAGCATATAGTTTAGACATACATCCATCACCAGGCAAAACAGTACCACCAGCAGAGCCAGAAAATGGATGCAGAGAGAGAGATTTTGGGGGACCAAAAGGCATTGCTATGCTAAGACAAGAGATAATTGTTTACAGTCCATTTGAAGAAAACGAGAATCAAAGATTCTAAGAAGAAATGGAAGAGAGATTGGGGGGGGGGGGAAATCCAACAGAATAAACATCAAGTACTCTGAAAGTTGCCCATAGTGGGTAAAGCTTTTCTCCAGCAGCCTCTCAATTCCTGTGACTACTATTTCTCTCTTCCTTATCTATCTACCTATCTATCTATCTATCTATCTATCTATCTATCTATCTGTCTGTCTGTCTGTCTGTCTGTCTGTCTGTCTGTCTATCTATCCATCCATCCATTTATCTAACTGCTCTCTCTCTCTACCTATTATCTATCTATCTATCTATCTATCTATCTATCTATCTATCTATCTATCTATCTATCTATCATCTACTTACCTACTCTCTACCTACTATCTATCTACCTACCTACTATCTATCTACCTACCATCTATCTATCTATCTACCTACCTACTATCTATCTATCTATCTATCTATCTATCTATCTATCTATCTATCTATCTATTATTTGCTGTTCGGTTTGAGTCAGGCTGTCGCTGTGTAGTCTAGGTGGGTGTTGAACGTGTGATCCTCTTGTTTCAGCATCCAGAGAGCTGGGATTACAAGCCTGAGCTACCACACCCAGATACTTTTCATATCTTGTCAAATTTCCTGTTACCACCAAGTCTAGTTGTGTCTGGAGAAGTGAAAGCATACATAGCCAGGTTTCTATTCACCATGACTCACACAGTGGAACTCAGCGCACCAAGCCAGAAGCACCAGCTCAGTCCTGGTGCCCTTTATGTCCTGAGGGTTTAAGCTTGAAGAAAATGATTATTTTAATTCAAAAGCTATAAAGATTATTATAAAATTACAACTGGTTCACAAGACAGGAACCCAATTCATAAGAAAATATGTAGTTTCTTAGGGTAGGGTAAACAAGGAAATGGAGGAGATATATTTAAGCATACATATAGCAATATTAAGACTGCATAACAGGTAGCATCGTGGAATACCAGAAGCGTATTTGTTCTTCATCGCAGAACTGAAGTCTACTGTGTATATATGTATACATATCATATATTTTTCTCCTATTCTCTTCCCCTCCCCCAACCCCCCTCTCTCTCTTTAGACAAGGCCTCATATAGCCCAGGCCAGTATGGGCTCAAGAGCATGTGATGGGATTACAGATGTGAGTCAGTATACCTTGTTTACATGGGACTGAGAATTGAACCCAGGGCTTTCTGCCATGCTGGGCCTGTACTTACCAGCTGAGCTACATCCCTAAGCCTACATTGCCTTTACCTATTCATGGATGTACTTGCATCTCCCTAGTAAAACTGTACTAGCTTGGGGCTGGGGAGATGGCTCAGCAGTTGGGAACACTGGCTGCTCTTCTAGAGGCCCCAAGTTCAATTCCCCGCACCCAACACCCACATGGCAGCTCACAATTGTAACTCCAGTTCCAGCAGATCTGAATGCAGGTGCGGCACACAGACATACACCAAATACCCACAAACATTAACAAAGAAAACAAAGGGCACCCACACCTGTGCAGAAGCACGGATTATGTGCCTCTGTTAGTAATTTCTCATTCAGTAACTTCAGTTCTTAAAACTGGCTATGGTTGAATGCATAGGCCACGGAAAGTGGCAAATGGCATGAATCTCGTGGTAAGCTGGTTTAGCGGCGTGCAAATGATGCTTCCTCAAAGAGAGGTGGTGAGGTAGAAGGAGACGCTTCCTACCTTGACCTCCAGACGTACACTGGGAGAAATAAAGATGAAGGCAGATATGACTGAGTCTCTTTGCATGAATCAACATAGAGGCTGTAACAATCACTGAGAGCACAAAAGTGCTTGGGTCTAAAATAAATTCTGCAGGTGGGCACCTAGGCTAGCTTTGCATGAGAAAATGAGGCCATACTATGCAAATGTGAGGTGAGGTCAAATAGGGCAGGAAGACCAATTCTACATTCATGGCTTCCTTCTCTAGCGCGCGTTTGTTTGGCAGCCTGGGAAAACAGCCTCTCCACACAGAGGATTTTGAAGGTTTGTATTTGGCCCTTGATGAAAAGTTCTAAGAAAAACAAGAGAAAGCCACAGAAAAAGCCACCCTTTGGATCCCAGAGAGAGAAGACCACAGTGAGCCAGGACTCTGCTTAAGTCAAGTCTGAAATTGTGCTGTACGGAGTATGGAAACTGTGAGTTCTGCTGTAACTGTCTGACGGGGACTTTGGAGCTTCATCTTACATAATTTGGTTTTCAAAAAGATAGCTTTCTGGTAAAATCGTTTTCGTTTTCTCTCTTAGTAACTTTCTCAAGTATTTCTGCAGCTTCCCGAGCGGGCCTGTGGCCCCTGGCTGCTCTCAGTGTCCCCTCTGGACTGAGCAGGTTGCCCAGCCACAGGCACTCTCTTCTCCCCCTCAGCTGAGTGGAAACCGACAATCCTGCAGTTTGGGAGCCAAACTGGAACTCCTTCCATCTGTATCCAGACATTTAAGAATTTGGACGGACTCCACAGGAAGGTTTTGCAGAGCACTTAATCAAGCACTCCGGAGGTTACATTTCAGGAAAGCTCTCTTGGATCCAAGATAAAGGCGGGGTGGAAAAAGCGAAAACAAGAGCTGCCTGAGTCAGAGGTCCTTTGGAATCCTCCTCACTCAAGACTGCGCCTCTCCCAGCTGAGACAGGTTGGTTCTTTCTTTTTATTTTCTCCTTTTGACCTGAATATGTGTTTTTGATTTCTTTTTAAGCCCACAAGATTTTGCATTTTTATCTTATTGGGGGATGAGGGACTTGATGCATGAGAGTTTAAACATGTACATGTGCCAAAAAAGCTATTTAAGAATATCTCTACATCTTTAACCTCAAGTGAAAATATGAATATATCAAGAAGAAAATATTATTTTCAATACCATTGCTGATTTGTCAGGGAGCCAATAGGGTTTACTATATCATTTCTTTCTGATCTTTACAATAAATGGGTTTTTTTTTTTGTCTTGAAAACAACTTGAAAGTCTTCCTATATATCTGCAGAAGGGTAATTTCTGCAGATACTCTCTATTCCTATTCTGATTTTCTTATACTGCTGGGCAATCAATTTTCAAATACTTGTCCTTATATTTTATCTGGCTCTGTTGCTCTTTATCATCAAGTTCAAGATTTCTGTGATAACAGAAGAACAAAGTCATATTGTGTTAATAATTAATGCAGAAGCCATGGAGGCTACAGGAGGCTTCCAATGCAGCTTCTACAACACCTTTAATGACAAAGTAGTCACTTCAGACTGCTACTGCTTGCTTTCTGTGTGACAGGAAAAATCCCTGGGGAGTACCTTCCCTAAGGGGGCACCTTCCCTAGGGGGCACCTTCCCTAGGGGCCACCTTTCCTCAGGAGCACTTTCCCTAAGGGAGCACCTTCCCTCAGGAGCACCTTCCCTGAGCGGCACCTTCACGTTATTCATTCAGAGATGAGCTAGCAAGTTAAAGACCTCTTTTGAAACTCAATGTTCTTTCCTGTACTGTTTTGAAAATACTGTTTTAATGATTGATTCTGTAAGACTGGAGATTCTTTGAAGGACAAAAATGGCCAACCAAGATAGAGAAGCTAAAAAAGAAAAGGTAATAAAAACACTGAAAGCCATTATAATGTTCATATTAATATTTGTGAATTCAGTGCAAGCTTGTCTTGGTACACTGCAGTGCTATTAGCCAGTGTGTGCTTCCTGAGTTGAGACAGGAGACTCCTAACATATCCTCCATCCATTCTGCAATAACAGCTTTATATGTGTCGACAAAACCTCCAGAACCTGACAGATACTTAGCGAACAGCTAGGGTGTACCTGGTATGCTAATATAAGCTTCAGTCACAACCAGAAATCAAACTGCTCAGACTTCAGAGAACTTAGAGCTGGGAAATACATTTTCTCCACAGGATGGAGTCATATCCTTGATTGAGGGTGAATCTTCTGGGGAGGAAAAAACCCAAACTAACTTACTCTTAAGTGGAGGGCAGAAAACAGTGCTGGAAAAAGGGACAGGGACAATGGGGGAGCTGCACATCAGAGCACAGAGTGTGTTGACTGATAGCTGACAACTCAGCATACGACTGTCTACTGTGGGGGGGGGCAGAGGCGGCAGGAGGGGGCCTTGGACACCACTCTGAGGACCCTGTGTTGGAGCTTTCTCGGGAAGTGAAGTGCTTCCGGTGCAGAGCTAAGTGAGGCAGCAGTAGACTGTCAAGTCAGGGGTACAATACCGACAGAAATAAGGATGGTTTTCACAAAAAGTTGGTGAGCAGGATGAAGAGCAGTCAGATTCCAGCCAAGAAGACAGTGCAGTAAGTGTGTGTGTGTGTGTGTGTGTGTGTGTGTGTGTGTACAGCACGCATGCGCACAAACAGGAGGGCCACAGTTTGCACAAGACTACAGACTGCAAGAATAGGAAAGTTCCAGACCCATTTTCTGAATATGCAAACCAGGTGTGGGGGCTCACACCTATAATCCCAATACTGGGGAGGCTGAGGCAAGAGGATTACTAACTTGAGCTACAGAGTAAGATTCTGTCTCAGAAAACAAAAACAAACAAAAATAAAGCAAGCAAGCAAGAATGAATGAACTTACAGACCAACTGGAAACCAGCGATCTAGGTAGGCGAGAAGTCAAGGATAGTGCCAGTTCTCAGCTTAGAGGGACCAGAGGACACAAGTAGTAACAGGCTTGGGAGGCAAGCTGACTGAATGAGGCTTTCCCGTAGAAAAGTAAACCAGTGATTCTCTATGCAAATGCCAAGCTAATCTATTTAAATGAAAATTATAGTAACACTAGAATAAAAAATTAAAACATTTCTTCTTAAAGCAAAACAACTTATTTTAATTTATTGTAGCTATATTCCACAAGACTTAAGGTATTTATAAAAATTATAACATTTCTTCTGCTCTTTGATTAAATTTTATATTATAAAAGCCAGACTAGGTAGATGGCCCTGTGGTTAAAGTGCTTGCTGTGAAAGTGTGAGGACCAGAGTTCGGGTCCCCAGCATGTATGTAAATGAGGGGTGGGCACAGCAGCCCACCTACAGCTCCAACACTCAACAGGGAGAGAAAGGATGTGTGGACCACGCTGGCTAGTCAGAATTTCTCTGCTGCTGAGCTCTGGGTTCAACTGAGACCTCACCTCAACAAATAAGGTAGAGAGTAATCTAATGACTCCTAATGCCAACTCCAACCTGTAGACACATGCACACACATGTGCCCTCACACCCACACACATGAAAACACACACACATGCATGCAGACCACATGCACAAATACAAACAAAAAAAACCCCACAAAACAAAACAATTCATATTTACTTAAAAGTGTTCACCTTTATCTAGGATTTAGTAACTAAGGGAATCCCTCAGGATATTATCTGTTGGCCATGGACAAACGCCAGTTCCTGCCTATAGACTCGTAAGAACAAAGGATGGAGGAGCTGAGTCAATGTGGTTCTCATTAAAGTTGTCAGAGTGAGATCCACAAGCTGTTCTCTAGAGAAAACACACGCCACATGCTGGGCAAAGCTGCTTCCTTTTAAGCAATGCTGAAGTGAGTGTCTTGTGTTCTTCCTACCATCCAGCTTGGTGCCATGGCTCTGGAGCAGAACCAGTCAATGGAATACTACTATGAGGAAAACATAATGAATGATACTTATGACTACAGCCAGTATGAATCGGTCTGCATCAAAGAAGAGGTCAGGCAGTTTGCAAAAGTCTTCCTCCCTGCCTTCTTCACGATAGCCTTTATTATTGGACTGGCAGGAAATTCCATAGTTGTGGCAATTTATGCCTATTACAAGAAACAGAGGACCAAGACAGATGTGTACATCCTGAATCTGGCTGTGGCAGACTTACTGCTTCTGGTCACGCTGCCTTTCTGGGCAGTTAATGCAGTTCATGGGTGGATTCTAGGGAAAATAATGTGCAAAGTAACTTCGGCCCTGTACACAGTAAACTTTGTCTCTGGGATGCAGTTCCTGGCCTGTATCAGCATTGATAGATACTGGGCAATCACTAAGGCCCCCAGCCAATCAGGTGCGGGGAGACCCTGCTGGATCATCTGTTGCTGTGTGTGGATGGCTGCTATCTTGCTGAGCATACCCCAGCTGGTTTTTTATACTGTGAATCAGAATGCCAAGTGCACTCCCATCTTTCCCCACCACCTAGGAACATCCCTGAAAGCATCCATTCAGATGCTGGAAATCTGCATCGGCTTTGTGGTTCCCTTCCTTATCATGGGGGTGTGCTATGCCATCACTGCCAGGACACTCATCAAGATGCCGAACATTAAAAAGTCTCGCCCCCTCAAGGTTCTGCTCACAGTGGTAGTAGTTTTCATTGTCACCCAGCTGCCATACAACATTGTCAAGTTCTGCCAAGCCATCGATGCCATCTACTTGCTGATCACCAACTGCGACATGAGCAAGCGCATGGATGTTGCCATCCAGGTCACAGAGAGCATCGCACTCTTCCACAGCTGCCTCAACCCCGTCCTGTATGTCTTCATGGGGGCCTCTTTCAAAAACTATATCACGAAAGTGGCCAAGAAATATGGATCATGGAGAAGACAGAGACAGAATGTGGAGGAGTTTCCTTTTGACTCTGAGGGTCCTACAGAGCCAACCAGTTCCTTTACCATTTAAATATAAAATGCTCTCTGCTTTTTGCTTGGACACATACACACACACACACACACACACACACACACACACACACACACACACACACACACGAGAGATGCTTCTTCCTCAGATAAACTATTTGTGTTACTCTGAGACTCAAATGTCAAACATTAGACTGTTGTTGCGATGTGTAACAAAGAAGCAAGCGGTGTGGGTATGAGGAACACAGACGCCAGAGAGTAAACAACAAACGGCAAAACGCGGAAATTCAAGTTAATGACAGGAAAACAGCATGGCAGAAAGGCATTGTGCTATAAGCAGGAAGCCTTTGTGGTGGTGGGCTGTTTCGCATCTTGACTGCAGCGGTGGCTACTCAAATCTAGCTGTGCCCCACGTGACTTTGACAGCAACTGTAATTATGTAATATAAAACCTTGGCTAATGAGCGAGCACCCGAGACCATGCCGTGTGATAAGTCACTGGGTAAGGAGCACCCAGGACCATCCTGTACTATCTTTGTAACTTCCTGTGAGTAGACAGCAACTTCAAAATAAAAAGTTAAAAAAACCCGTCATGCTGTGAATCAAGTGATCTAAAAACAATGAATAAACTTGTGCTAAGAAAAATTTATAATTATTTATAATGATCTAAATTTTAATAAGAATATTTTTCTGCAAAATTCCAATGCTTAAATAATCACAAGAAAATTTACTTTATTTTTTTCTATTTCTTAATTTATAAGTGATTTTATAAGGCATATGTAGTGGTATTTGCTCCGCCCATGACCTTGGGTTATAGGGCCCGAAGGAGGCGGTGCTTCTTGCCTTCCTACGTGACCTCTTAAAGATCACTAGAGTCATAAGCAGGAATGGCAATTCTCCCAACCCTTAAAAAACAGGCCAAACCCATAAACTTTCCTGAGATGTTTACACATTCCAGTAAGTGCCTACACATGCAATTTGCTTTGATGGTATCACCAAAGAAAACCATCCAAATACATGCTGTGTTCATTATGCATATTTTGGAGGCACGCCTTAAAAATCATAGTTATTTAGAGTCTAATTTTATAACTTTCTAAAGAACTTCCCAAGGTATGTTGGCCTATTACTGAGAACTGATTAGTATAAAGCTTATTTTTCATTTAAACAAGCCTATTTTAGGCAATAAAGCAAATACCACATTTAGTGTCTTGCTGACACATGCTAAGCCTGTGTTCTACCACCACTGACCTACCCCCGAGACTTATCAAATTACCTTTCCTCTGGGTGCCGTTTCTAAGTCTGATAGTGTTTCAGAGGCTGAGTTTAAAGCTGTGATTGTGAAGCCGAGACTGGGAACTGTGCCAGTGCCCCAGCCACGGGGTACCAGAAGCACAGAGACTGGGAACTGTGGCAGTGCCCCAGCCACGGGGTACCAGAAGCACAGAGACTGGGAACTGTGGCAGTGCCCCAGCCACGGGGTACCAGAAGCACAGAGACTGGGAACTGTGGCAGTGCCCCAGCCATGGGGTACCAGAAGCACAGAGCACACTCACCGCTGCTCCACCATTTCTTGCCGTGAACTATATAGCCATCTCCATCTCGCTGGATGCTACATTCAATGTTTGTGGCATCACTTGATGAGACATCGGGCTCTATAAAGAAACACGGCTTGATTAACTGACAGAAATCAGCTTTAAGAGGCTTAGACAAGAAAGGACAAGCTCTTCGAGACAGAGGCACGCTGGCTCTTTATTCTATTTTTTCAATCTTTCCATCTTACCCCTTTCTCCTTGGTCTTTTCCTAACATACACACTGTAAGCATTCAATAGATATGAACTGGAAGACAGAGGGATGAATCGTAGGATTAGTACTGACCAGTGTGTCCTTGGAGCCTTTGCTGATGTCTGAGTCAGGATACAACTCACTCATTATTTCCCCAATCACCAGAAATTGATAAAAACACTGCCTTTGACTTTCCACAGTGAGAATGTGCTTTAACTGTGGGCAGGCTGGATTCCTCTACTCTCACTAACAAATTCTCCCTGCACCCTGTAAGTGCTACTGAGAGCGTGTCTGCCAGGCCACACCTTCAACACTCAGATCTTCTTAACACTTAGGTCTCTAGACCTTTCTGTGCAATACCCGTAAATCTTAAACACTGTTTCCTGCATGGCATTAGGGGCCAATCAGCCTTTACCTTCTTCCTATATTGTTCTTATTTGTATTGTGTGTGTGTGTGTGTGTGTGTGTGTGTGTGTGTGTGTGTGTGTGTGTGCACATGCTGGGACATGTGTGTATGGAGACCAGACAACTTCAGTGGTCATTCCGCCTCCGGCTTTTTTTTTTTTTTTTTTTTTTTTTTTTGAGACAGGGTCCCGCATTGGCGTGGTATTAGCCTGGTACTCAGTGACTGGCTAGCCTGGCCGGCCAGTGAGCCTCACAAATCTTTCTGTAATCGCCCCCCTGTGCTGTGATTACAATTATGTGTCACAACATCAGACTTTGGGGATGGAACTCAGACCCACACACTTGTGTGGTAAATACTTTACAGACTGAGTTGTGTCCCTGACCCTTCTTCTGCTCTTTTAAGAGAGTCCTGGGTACTTCAGGGATTCCTTTTAAAGCTCCAGAAGCTGTTTTCAGAGAAAGGGGATGGCAAGCTTATCTTGTGACCTCAGGTCGGTACTTTGTAAACACTATATCATTATACCTCTGTAGGTGTTCCACAAACACCTCTTGATGATTTAAGTGGAGAGAACTTTTGTTATTATATAAACAATTGTATATATGTGTATATAAGTATATTATATAAAAAACAATAAAATCTAGCCGGGTGGTAGTGGCACACATTTTTAATCCCAGCACTCAGGAGGCAGAAACAGGCGGATCTCTGAGTTTGAGCCAGCCTGGTCTACAGAGTGAGTTCCAGGACAGCCAGGGCTACACAGAGAAACCCTGTTTTGAAAGCCCCAAACCAAAAAGTAAAATAAAATCTGGTCGTGAGCAAAAGGTCAATATGAACTTCACATTATGACCAAACCAAATTGAATTTAATTCTAAACTCAAGTGGAGATGCAAGTTTCGTCTTGATAGTAACTTTTAAATGACTGTTTCCAATGTACAAGTGGACCAACACCATTCTCATCATTGTGCCCCTGGCTTTCTCCCCGACAGGGTGGTTTCAGCAATATTTCCACTGGCTTAAGTTCCGGTTTTCTAGGATTATGGGATAGTTGAGTAGTTTATAGTCATATAAATATCACAAAGAAGGAGATCAATGAGCAGCAATTGTAGAAACAACACAATTTAAAAGACATCGCCCCACTGCTGATGTTGAAGTAGACTGCCAGAATGCATCTGGAGCCCTCCCAAAGGACAGGAGTGTTTATCCTCCACATTTAAGGATGACAGCATCTCAAACCAGGCTCAAAATCAACACATTTCTGGCCGTGGCAAAGTTGGCTACAGCCGACCTACCCCCACACTGCTGCAGTTCTTCCATCCACAACGACCCCAGGATGACGGTCCCAGGGGACAGGGCTGGGACTCCTCCTACCTGTCATACAGAATACAGAGGTGATCTCTCCCCGAAGGAGCGGCTCCAGCCACTGCTGCTTCTGTTGCTCACTGCCGTACAGGTGCAACACCTCCATGTTGCCTGTGTCTACAGGGGAGAAGAAAGTGTTGGACTTTTAAAACTAGCAGTACTAAATCCACATTTGTGAAGACAGTACAAGCTATATCTTTTTTCTCTTCCTTTCTTTTCTTTCTTTTTTCTTCTTCTCCTTTTTTTTTTTTTCTGAGACAAGGTTTCTCTATGTAACCCTGGTTGTCCTAGAATTCACTTGTAGACTAGGCTGGCCTCATATTCACAGACATCCGCCTGCCTCTGCCTCCCAAGTGCTGGGATTAAAGGCGTGTGCCACTCCCATCGGGCTCAGATTATATTTTTTTAAGTAAAATGTTTGTTGATGCAAATATTCTGAAATGTACATTAAATTTAATGTGTAATGATGAGATGCTGTATCATTCATTACAAGTGTATGGCATTCAGTCCATTATTTAACTTTTTCTGAATCTTGGGTGCTCGCCCAGTTCATCCCATGGCTTTAAGGAGGTCTAGCTCCATTAGGACTGAAGTAGCCATTTCTGTTTTAAACCCAGCCTGCTGTGCTTGTATGCTGGGTCAGGAGTGACTCCCGTGTTCCTGGAGAGGAACTGATACTCCATATTGAGCCCCCAGCTCCCAAGTGTCTATGCTGTTCCTCAGGCTCACAAGTTGGCTTGGGCCTTTGTGAAAGTCTGCTGCTTGTGGGTAAGTAAACTGCTCATGAGCTACGTTCTCTACATGAACCTCTACTTGCCCACTCTGAAAGACCTCCTTGCTCTGAGCTACAGCAATTTTTGTTTACCTCTCATAGCTTGTTTCTGCTGTTTATTCAGTTGGTTTCTGAGACAGGTTTTCGCTGTGTAGCCCTGGCTGCCATCAAACTCCTGCTCTGCCTCATTAGTGCTCTAAGATAGATCTTAATTTGTGCATGGCATTCCTCTGTGAAAATCAGAATCCCTGCCCTGTAAGGAAGCAGAAAGCCTTGTGGACCCACTCCAGTCTTGAGGGTGCTGTCCAGGACACCACACACTCTACCTTCTACAGCTGAAAAAGCACACTTGGTTTATTGCGAGCAAAATGTTCTAGATGCTTTTCTCTGATTTCCATTCCTGTAAAATTTTCTTAAAATTCTGCTTGAATCCTCTCGAGATTTGAAAGATTTTCAGTGTCACTTGCTGTGACTTGGAGGATGGTTGCTCAAATGCTGATGAAAACTGACAATTCTGAACCAAGTAAGACATATTTGTAAGTGCTGGAGAGATGCTCAGGGTTAAGGGCACTTCCTGCTCTTGCAGAGGACCCAGTTCAGTGCCCACTAATCACTTCCGGCAGCTCACAACAGCTAGCAACTCCACCTCCAGGGGATTCTACATCCTCTTCAGGAGACTTGCACATATATATGTATGCACATGAAGAAATAAAAATGTTTTTAAGACTTAAAACCATCCTTAAAAAATATACCTTTGCACTCTGTTCAGATACTAACACTGAATCAAGAGGCACAAAATTCCTAGTAGATCCACACAAACCTAACATTGTTTTTAAGTGAGGGAGAAAAGAAGTCCTCAATTACAATTAACAGAGTGAATTATTCACTTTCTTTGCTTGTTTGAAATTCAGTGTTACTTGTTATGAACAAAATAAAGTATTAAAACATTTTAAAATTAAGCTGGGAACAATGGCACACATCTGTAATCTTAGCACTTGTTCTTGGGGTTATGGTAGAGGCTGTAGAGGCAGAAGGATCAGGAGTTCAAGATCATCCTTAACTACATAAGTATGAAGACATCCTGGGCTACATGAGATCTTACTTAAAAGAGAAAAGAAGAATCTAAAATTATCAGTTTTACTCTGGGAAACCGACCAATTTTTTATTTACAGTTTAGAGAAAAAACCTATAAAAAAAATCAATCCAAAGGTCCTAAATTATTTAGTGACAGGTTTGGAAATTAAAAATAGCTATTTTCAGCATTCTACTATACAACACTGTGTGCCTTTTTGAAGGGAGAAGACAAAGACAAACTGGAAGGCTACATATGTTTTCTGAGCTTTGATAAGAGCAGTTACTTGGAAAGCCTAGGTAGAAATTAATCATTCAGACTTAAGAAGCCTCTCAAAGAATGTCATTAGCACCAGCTACAACTCCCCGTTTGTCTGCCTGGAAAACGCTCCAGCACACAAGGTCCCAGGCCTTTGTAACAGCTCTACCGCAAAAGGGAGACGCTTGGCTTCTTGAGTTTCCCTGTCTTTCTGCTTGAGAGAGTAGCTTAGTCATTCCTTAGTCAAAAACTACTTAAAAAGTTCAGCCGTCTTGTGGTATTATTTAAACAGAACAACTGACAGACTCGTGAAATTTCAATCTTAGGAAACGCTCCTTGAGTGTGCGGTGGCAGGTGACTCCGCAAATGGAATGGAACGTCCACGGCAGAGCTGCAAGGAAGCTTCCCGCAGCCTAACGTGGCACACTGTGAATGACCCGGTACTGTGCCACGAATCCACTTACCAGAATACGGCTAACACGCTCTAAAAACATATTGGGAACAGGCTTTTTTTAAAAAAAAAAAAAAAAAAAAAAAAGCATCTTATCCTAAGTACTGCCATTTTGACTTTAGATTCCATTTCACCTGTAGGGTGAAACAAAGCTCAGGTTCCCAAGCCCTCGGGGAGCTGGGAACCTTCCAATAGCTGACCAACCTCCTCCTTAAACCATAGAAATAGTCGTATGCATCTGTTGTTCTCTAGAAACATATGGCTGGTCCTAACAACAGAGAGAACAAATGAATCTGATTGGTTGGATTGAAAAGCTTGCATAGTATGTCGGTTGACAATGAGGGAACATTCAAGAGAGCCCCTAATCTCTAACTCCTGATTGGCAGCAAATGTTTGTGATTTCTGTGCTTAGATACTTGCTTCAACTGACATGCGGAGTCGCAGTTCAGCTCAGCCCTCCCCTCCCCACCCCTCTTCTTCTGTGCTGCCCTGCATTAAATCTCGCCTTGCCATAACCTCTTGTGTCTGCTTGGGTTGATTCGGAGCCTCGGACCACAACAATAACAAGGGTGTTAGAGAGATAGATGGCTCGGTGATTAAGAGCACTGATGGCTCTTCCAGAGGACCCAGGTTCAATTCCCAGCTCCCACATGGCAACTCACAACTGACTGAAACTCCAGTTCCAGGGCATTGGACAACCCTACACAGACATACATGCAGGCAAAACACTAATGTACACAAAATAAAAATAAATAAAAAAAGAAACCATGACTTTAAGAAATATAAAAAAAATAAAAATAAAAATGTAACAATACAGAATATGTTAGGTCTAGGAAATATCTGAATGCCACGTGTAATAAGAAAAGATAGTTTCATGAGACCTGTGTTTCAGAGGAATACAGAGGAATATTTGTCCATCTACCTACAAATCCACGTGTGCAACTATATATGCTACATTACATTGGGTTGCAATATAAATGATGTCTTATTAGGAAGAGTAGGGAGAAAAGCTTTGAACTTCAGGATTAGCCGTTCATTTCCTTTTCTATAGAACCATGCAGCATGTGCAGTGTGTCATAACAGCATCGTAGCTTTGGGATAAAATTTTCAGACAGAAAAGACATGTTTCTCTTACAATAGCCTCTTCACAGGATTACAATGAAGGACAGTAGTGAGTTGATAAACTGGTGTAGACAGAGGGAAACTATGCCACCAGAGATCAGCACTATCATCAGAAGCCTGAGAACTATATTGAATTTACAGACAAGCGAGTCAAAGTCTAGCATGGAGCCACATTCTGGACTCTTCTCTCAGAAACCCACCACACTTGTGTAGCCTGTTGCTCAAGCTGGCATTAGCTCTTCTGGGAGAGCCTCAGCACGGGGCCACACAATACACGGCAGCAGCCAGGACCCCGGAGCAGGGGCACTATAGGACATCCTGCCAGTTAAGTGTACAGTGTGCTGGTAACATGGCTGCAGCCCCTGGCAGAAACCAAGTCAGCCTTTCGGAGAAAGAGTTTTGCACAATGGAGAGACTGGGGATTAACAAAGACCTCTGGAATTTCTATCCCTTCCAGCTAGCCATAGAAATACCTAAGCCCAGTCAGGAAGTGGGGTGTTTATATAACCAGTCCTCTTGGTGGCTACTTCTGTCTGCTGGCACTCTTAATGTAACCATGCTGATTAAAAGGGCAACCCACTGAGAACCTCAAATCCACTTTTACATTGCTTTCAGAGTAGCTGTAAAATTACGGCAAAATCTGTAAATGAATGATTTCGCACAGGAAAGTCTGCTTATAATAAAGAGATTTTAAGCACCGTTCAAACAAAGAAAATTGCTTGTAGTAACCTGGTGCTTGGCAGTTAAAAACATCTGGAGCAAAAAAACATTTTCCTGTCTCTTCGGCAATCAAGGCATAGTCCAGCTGGCTGAGGCCGCTCACAGCTGGCAAGAACAAGTTCCATAGGCCCTCGGCTTTGGCCATTTCCTGTCAAGGGATGAACAAGGGATCAAAAAGTGCCAAACAAAGTAGCTGATTTTAAACAAATATTAGCATTAATATTTTCTGAAATTTAAAATCATTTATGGAGTTATTTCATTGTATTCTACACTGTGTTAAGTCAAGGCTTACTGACTCGTTAATCAGTAGTTTCTTAATAATTAAGGAAATGTCTTGCTTTCCAGGATTTCTTAGATTTGGCTCTAAAACTAAATTTGCATACTTTGGTGCTTCTCATTCAATCAGGATGATTACAACCGCTCACACACATTGAAGTGTAATTCTGCCAAATGTGTTATACGCCGCAGTTCCTTACATGCATGGCTGGTAAGATCTGAAAACATGAAGTGTGACTTGACAGCACATGGGACAAATGGCCTGCTTTGTCCCTGCCTCTAGCTGGACAAACCCAGGGCCTTGCACACACATGAGGAGAGCTCTTCCATTCAGTTCCAGCCTCCAATCCCACTGCCCTGCTCCGGCTTTATTTCCCCTCCCCTTCTCCCTCCCTCCCTCCCTCCCTGCCTCCCTCCCTCCCTCCCTCCCTCCCTCCCTGCCTCCCTGCCTCCCTCCCTTCCTCCCTTCCTCCCTTCTGTCCTTCCTCCCCACCCCCTTCCTTTCTATCTAAAAAGGGACCCATACTGTAGCTCTGGCTCACTGTGTAGCCCAGGCTAGCCTCAAATTTGCAGCAATCTTCCACCTTCAGCCTCAACCTCCCTCTCAAGTGCTAGGATTACAGGTGTGAGCCACCATACCCAACCAAGATTTTTTTTTAAACCCAGATTCGTAAAATCTTTATTTTAAGGAAGCTATTCCTGTTCCAGGACAGCTAGGACTACATGAAGAGAAATCCTGTCTTGAAACCACTCCCCTGAAAAAAAAAAAAAAAAGGTTATCCCTGGAGCATGAGCTATTATGCTTCTCATCCAGATACTGACAAGGCAGAGGCAGGAGGATTGCCACAAGCTGAGGCCAGTCTAATCAACATACCAAGACCACAAAGAAAAGTAAAAAAAAGTTATTATCATTGTAGTTCTTCTTTACCTACACTACAACAACAATAATTAAGGTCCCCCAAACACTTGCATATGCATTTCCTGATGCTGAGTGCGTTCTTGTCTCTCTTACCTTTAGTTTTTCAATCACTAAGGGGTGTCCCCACTTTTCCTCTGCATTTCCATTTCGAGCATAGTATTCTGCTACTTCCTTAAAACAATGAAAGGGAAATGATTAGGCCAAGTTAATACAAAATAAACAATGTCATGCGTGGAGTGTATGTGTGTGTGTGTGTGTGTGTGTGTGTGTGTATGTGTGTTTGTTTTCCAAGACAGGGTCATGCTATGTAGCCCAGGTTGGGCCGGAACCAGCATTCTGCATCAGCTGCCTAAGCACTAGGATTACAGGCATGTGTCACTATCCCGGTTAGTAATGGTTCTTTTTAACACTAAATGCAGAATAATACAAATTCTAAATGTTTGCTCCTCAAAAAATTATGCTGCCTCAATATTAGACAGTAATAATCTTTTTTTTTTTAAATTCTTTCTTTCTTTATTATGAATACAGTGTTCTGCCTGCATGTATCCCTACAGGCCAGAAGAGGGTACCAGAGCTCATTACAGATAGTTGTGAGCCACCATGTGGTTGCTGGGAATTGAACTCAGGACCTCTGGAAGAACAGCCAGTGCTCTTAACCGCTGAGCCATCTCTCCAGCCTCATGACAGCAATAATCTTATACCCAAGATTTAAGTGTTCTGCTTTCAGCAACATGGTACACCGGTGGGCATAGGAACCCTTCAAGTAAAACAGCTGGGTGCAATGTTACCAATTAAAGATAGATTAAGAAATGCACAGTTGTCCTGGAAAGAACTAACAAAACAGCTTCACCCTTCAGATGGGACAGGATGGGTGCTAAGCTTGCTGACTGAGGCCTTGGCTTTCAATGGGCCACATCAGCAGGACCCAGGTGATAAGGCCAGGGGCTGCAAACAGCAAAAGGGAGCATGGAGATCTTCCATCCCACCAAAGCCAGGAGGGCTGAGAAGCAAAACCTCAATCGGGAACAAACAGAACAGAGAAGCACATAAAAATCTGGACCCTTGGAGGTAGACCACGGGGAGAAAGCCCCCCACACAGCTCTCAGTTTGCAGAAAAATAGAAAAAAGAAATGTCGTACCCCGAGACCTGCCTTCACCCAAGCATGGGATGCAAATGTCAGGCCTGTGCCACCCCCAAACCTCAAGCCCAAATTAAGTTTACAATGCCGGGGCAACAGCAGCTGCCAGCACCTGGCAGAAACAAAACCAGCCCTCTAGAGGGACGAGCTTTGTACAAAAGCTCATGTAACTCCTTTCAGCCCACAGTCTACCCTGAAAAAATCACTAATCTCTTCGGGAAACCAGCCATCACAGGCAAGAATCCACCAAAACAGCAGGTCAAGAAAAACAATCATGCTTCCTTAAAACAACGATAATGCTCACGGAATTCACGGCACAAACTATCTGTGGTCTGTAGATTCCAAGAACAAAGGAAGGAATTGTAAGTATGACCATGGGCTAGTAAAACTGACAAAGTAAACTTGTACTGCAACCCAGAGGAACAAAAACCTTAGCAACCAAGCTTGAAAATGTTACCATGGCTTCTCAAAGGTTGGTGGGAGCAGAAGCCCCTGGGGACCCGGCACTGATGGGGCAGATGTGCAGTTTGTAGAAGACTCTGGTGAGTCTCGGCTTCTATTCTTTAAGAGCTCCCCAGGCATTTCTCACACTCTCCAAAGTTAGATAATGTCAGTCTATGGAAAGCTGAAAAATGGCCTGAGAACACTTAAAAAAAAAATTAGAAGGAAGATCTAAAGAAATCACTCAGCACAGAAACTCAAGAGAAGAAAAAAGGATATAACGGATTCCCAGAGGTTGAGCGTTGACTTCCATGGTAACAGTGAAGTCAGAAGTCAATGGGAGAGGACAGTGAGAGGGCTCCGAGGGTAAGGGTGCTTGTTGCCAAGTCTGATGACGAGAGTTCGATCCCTATTACCTGACTTCTAAATGTGTATACCCCCAAACAAGCAAACAAATGTAACAATAATGTTAAAAAGAAATTAAAGGCTGAATATCTTCAACTACCGAGAGAAAGTAATTAACAACCTAGAATTCATATCTCAAACTATCCTTTTGGTTGGGGGTGGTGGTGGCACTTGAGAAGCTGAGGCAGGAGGATCATGAGTTTGAGGCCAGACTGAGATAATTAGGGAGGCCCTGTCTCAAAATATATGTCAAATTTCAAAGAATTAGGACAAAATAAAAGTATCATAGGCAAGGTACTACTTATCCCCTCAAAAAACAAACAAACAGACAGATAAACAAACAGCAGCAGCAGCAGCCGCCACAGAAGCCCTGGCAGAGTCTTAGTAAAGGCACACGGCTCCAGGAGAAACATCTGAGTTGCATGAACGGGTGAAAAGGAGTAACAACATGGGTAATTCTAAATAACACCATTTAGGCCAAACAGTCACCTCTCACTTGTACAACCACACAGTACAATGCAAACACAATGATAACTATGTGATATTCTAGAGATGCGCTTATAAATACTTACAGCATCTTGGCATCACTATTTTCTTTACATTTCGACTAAGAAATGACAGGGTTAAAGGCCATGGGCACTGTGAAAACTTTTCTTGTGTATCATCAGGTTATTGTAGACTATTCTTCTAAAACGCACTGCTCCGGCCATCCCATGTTCCTCTTGGGGAGGCAAGGCTAGTCCGGAGTGCAGTGCTGTAGGAGGCAGAGGCCTGCGCTTTCAAAGACTCCAGGATGGAGAGCGCTTCCCACGTTTGTCATGAAGTCAGTTAAATCGGAAGGTTTCCTGTTTGGGGTTGCATATTATTTCTATTCCTAGAGTTGCCATAAAAGGTCAATGCTCTTGTGTTTGGTAATAAATATATTATGAAAGATGTTTATGATGTTCTCATTCTGACTACCTCTTTGTGATACACAGTTCTGAGAAATCAAATTATGCCTGTGTTTACATGCCCCAGGAGGGCGGGTTCATCTTAAGCCATGCTGAATAGATAGGAGGAATAATTAATTACTCCTTTAATGAGCTACTATATTTTTACTTCCCAGAATTAACTGCCCTTAGCCCAAATCCCCATGGGCTGCGCCATCTTGAGGTTCAGCTGGGTCTGCCCATCTTTCTGAGTCAACTTTTCCCATTCCTTCTCTTCAGATGCTGGCTGGAAACTAAGCATGCTTTTTCTGGTATGTTGTATTTCCTTACTCTGCTCTCTCATCTCCCTCCCTGCCATGGGGCTGTCTGATCATGTGGCTGACTTCTATGCTGGCATAAGTGTCATGGCATGATTTTTCTTCTCTCTGAGCAGCTGCTGAGATTTACAACGTGACTGCCCTGGGGTGTTTTCCTTTCTAAGTCTAATAAAATTGCCCCCAAGCTTCCATGAGTCCATTTTTAGAAGTCTTTAAATAATGAGACTCTGAGCCCCACAGGGGCCTCCATTTACCCATACCATCTAGTGATTATGAAATGACTCCCTCAAGCTCTGGGAACATTATCACTATGACCCGTGTGCACTCCTTACGCCGCGTGTGCCCCCTACGCCGCGTGCGCCCTTACGCTGTGTGCGCTGCTTCTTCCTGTCCTGCACGTGAGTTTCAGTATTCTCCATGGATTTTCAAGAGGAAGAACTGATTTGGCATTTTTTTTCAGAGATATGGGTTATGTGTTCATTTTAGGCTATCCAAGGAGTTTCCCAAAGTTGCAGAAATAGTCCTGCCAAACCTATTTTTTCTCATTTTGGAAAATACATAGAAATATGGAGAAAAAGTCATCAAGAATTTTAGTAGCTAAAGTACATGATAGTAAAATGCTGCTGCAGTTTATGAGACAATCATATTTTCTAGACATGACCATTTTGGTTTGGCAACTCAGCTGAAATAACACTGAGCAGAATTTAATGTTTTCTCCCTTTTATGTTGAGAAAAGCTATTTACTTTTCTACAAATCATTCCAGAATTGTATACCCCACATCTGGGGGTTAGCACTGTTCAGTTCACCCTACAGGATAAAGCATACACATGCTGGTACAAGTGTTTGAATGAGGAAATAGCGCACATTATCAGATGTGGGAATGCAGATTTGGAAGCTCTGCCTACACAAAGTGGCTTTCTTTACCACACAAGCTTGGGCAACCTTCTCTTTCTACAGTCGGTCGGATTTTGTTTTTACTATTACTGTGAATTCTTTACACGTATTCTAGCAGCTGAATGGCACTGAGTTCAGAGGCACTATGACCTTCCTCGGACCCCTCCCTTCCCTGCAGCAGTGTCCCTGGGACACCTGCTCACATTTACGGGTGACAGTGAAACCCCTTTGCTTCCCTCTGCCCATCTTGGCTTGTCCTTAGGGTCATAGGCTGGTTGGGTTGCAGGCACAGGCACGTTGCAGACAGGCTTTGTTTTAGTGTGAGCGTGTAGGATTAGTTGAACTGACGGGTGAGCTGGATCTCCATCCAAATCCCACAAACCAAACAAAAAGCCAAACAACAGAGGGTGCTGCTCTAGCCCATTCACCTTATGGTTGAAGCTGTGGCTTCCATGAAACATAACGTGTTTTGTTGTTGTTTTCAAGTAGTGCTCTAGCCTTCTGTTTGGGACAAATATCACTGCTATGTGAGGTTGAGTGGATCAGCCCTAGAGACTGGATAAGCTTCAAACACCTTGATTTCTCTCTTCCCTTTGCTCTCCTCATCAGCCAATCACCTATTTCACCATTATGGAAAAAGCCCACTTTCATTTCAAAATTCTTTCAAGATGCATCTTCCTGCTGTAGAATAACCCTTCTATACACTGTGTGAATATGTCTCACTACGATAGGTTTAATAAACAAGCTGACTGGCCAGTAGCTGAACAGGATAAAGTTAGGCAGGAAAGCCAAACTGAGAATGATGGGATGAGGAAGGGTGTAATCAGAAGAGTCGCCAGCCAGATAAAGAATGAGTTGGACACACAAAATGGCATAGAGGTAAAAGCCACAAGCCTTGGGGCAGCATATAGATTAATAGAAATGGGTTAAGTTGTAAGAGCTAGTTGTAACAAGCCTGAGTTAACAAACCAAGCATTTATAATTTATATTAAGTCTCCAAGTCAATTATTTGGGAAGCGGCTGCCAGTTATTTGGGAGCAGGAGGTTGGGACAGGAACACTCAGCTTACATCTTCCTCTATGATGAGCTACTCTCTGGCATGATCTACTGTCTTCCAAATTTAATCTGTATTTGCTTTTCTGGTGTATCTCTTTTCTGCTTTCACTGATTTATTACACTGTCCTAACATTTAATTGTCCTAAAAGTTTAATTGGATTTTATTTGAGGAAGGGGAATAGTGAATTCAGACTACCCTCTTGAATTAAAAGAGTTGTTTTCTCCTTTTGATACACAAAAGTTTAATTTTAAGTCTCAAAATTGGACAAACATTAGCTACAACACAAACTATTCAATGTCACCAGATGTGAGAGGTAACAATTTTAGAATTAATACTTCAGTATTTTTGAAGAAACGATATCCCACTCTATGCTAAATGTTCACCTCCACAAATTTACCAATACAACTATTCACATAACTCATAACACTACCATCCCTATAAACACACCTTACTTCTGAACATTACTGAGAGAATATTGTTCTTTGGAGTTCTCCATTTGACTATGCTAGGACAGTTCGAGACTCAGAATCACAGGCAGTTACAATGAGAGTGGCTGGGTTTTTTTTTAGGCAGACCTACTCACGTTGAAAAAGAAAAAACTGAGATCACATGAACTAACCAGTGCAAGGCCACCAACCCACACCAAGCCCTTACACTCTCCACACACACACACACACACACACACACACACACACACACACACACACACACGTCTCTCATATGCTGTCAAAAGTGCTTCTCCCTTTTCCTCACAGCATCTGTCCTCTCTATCCCTCTCTCTCTGTAGGGGCACAAACCCCGTCTCTCTTCTTATTTTTAGCTGCTCCCCGGTGTCCAGCCTGTCATAGGTGCCCAGTACATACTTCTTTACTGAATGGATGTTGCTTCACTATAACCCATGAACTTCTTCAATGTAACCCCCTATAGCAATAGGAGAAAAGAAAGGGTAGTATTTATGTGGCTTGAAATGACAGACCGAAGATCATAACCATGTCTATTTAGGGAGACTGCCATTCTCAAATTCTCAAAGCATCCACATTCAAAATAACAAAAGTTGAAGGTCGCTGCCTTAGCAAAAGGCACGATGTAACTTTTACTCCCTATCTCCAGGCCCTTACTGCCTGTTCCCTCTGGCTTCATTTTACTCCTGTAGATGCATTTGCATACCCTGGGACATATTTTAGCTCTAGATGTCTATGAGGTTCGGCTCTAAGGGCAGTGAGAGGATAGAGGAAAGTCCGACCACCAGGAGACAGGACTTGCTGATGTCCTTTCATACTCCACCTTTTCAGCAGGAAAGATGTGCTGTTTCATGAACTGCTTCACTTTGGCAAGAACTTCCTGGCCTCTCCTGGTCTGCGCAAACAACTGGTTTTTAGGGTCAGCCTGTGACAGTACAGTACTAAAAGTTCTTGGCAAAAGAAAAAAAAAAGGAGGTTACAAAGATGTCCAAAGTCATTATTATATCTCCCCAGCTAACCAAAACTGTCCTCAGGAGGAGTTGCCATATCTGGGAGGTTTGGGCTTATTGTTGGTGAATTCTGCTTCATTAGCTGTCTGCAGCTCGAGGGAGCAAACCCAGAGCCTTGCAAATGCCAGGCAGCTGCTGTACTGTTGAGCTACAACCTTAGTCCCATGGGCTTTGTTTGTTTGCTTACAGTATGGAGTAAATGTAGAATTGCTTTATTCTGAACACTAAGCTTGAATGCTACTCGGGGAAAACACAAGCCTCACATGTCCTCAATCAGTGCTAGCTTTAGTGACGTCAGTTGTCACAACCACAAAGGAACAAGGAAGGTGTGCACAAATCTGACCACTATTCTTCACACTTGTTTCACAGATACCACTGCAGGGCATTTTAAAGACGACCTTAAAAGAAAACAAATAAATAAATAAATAAATACAACGGGGGCCCTTGTTCTGTTGGAAAAATTACACAGAGCAGTCTAGAAATGAGTTGTGAAAAACATTGTGTCAGGAGGAAGTGGGGCTTAGGAAATGGTCCTGGGGATGGCATTCTACACACATTATAGAGAGATAGGGGTGAGACTGGAAAAGCGCTAGACTCTTCAGAAATGCTGCTCGGATAGAGACAGAGTTTCAAAGACACTTGCAAAATGTTAAAGAAAAAGTAGTATTGCTAAGTTAATAAATAATCTAATATTTAAATAGGTACGTGTAAGTAACAAATATTATAAGGAAACATGTTCATCTATATACTTAAAAGGTTATAGATTCAAGTTGGCAAAGAATACATTTAATCATAAATATGAGTATTTTCTTTACATTTTAGGTCAACTTATTTTTAGGGATACAGTGATTTATTAGAAGACTATCCTGACTGGCAATTAGCAGCTCTAGTCTGGGCAGTGATATAATTTTCCATTTTATTAGAGTTTTAACCTTACCATACCCAATAATTGTTTAAGTAAAGAGTGAAGAGCCCAGGCTGTCGCCTGGGTTTCTGGGAACTTATGAGACCTAGCTAAGAGGCTGTAAACTGAGTGACCCAAAGACTTCGCTCTCCTTACCTTTTAGAGAGCTGTAATCCAGTTTCTGCCAGGGGCTGCACAGTATTGGCCGTCAGAAAGCTATCCGCAGATGAGTTATTTCCCAAGAGGTATCTTCTATAGACCCCCTACAAGTAAATTAACATGGGACAATTAAAAATCTATTGTCTTTCCAGCTTGTCATCCATGTGGGGAACTAAATTCACTGAGGCCAAAGGTGTCAATCAGACCGTTGAGGCTGGAAACTTACATGCAGAGGTAACCACGTGCCTCTGAGTTAGAGTCACACTCATATCATGTAGTTGTGACACTCTAATCTAGGCAGAGGTGTAACTGATCTCTCAAACCAAATTGAAAATGACCCCAGCCACTGCCAAAACAGCCAAGCTGTAAGCCACGCCATCTGTAATGATGACTGCTTTCCCTTCAGCGCTATCAAAATGAATCAAATGCTAAAACCCAGGAGAAGGAAGGCAATGAGATGTTTAGTATCATATTTTTTGATCCCCAATTTGGATAAAACTGTCTCCGTGAGCAGTGTTAGCTGAATGTCAATCAGCTTTTTCACAATTCTCCATTTCTGTACTTCTGACACAAGACACCCCCTTCCCCCATGTGACGGCTCGTCTTCATTGTCAGTTTGCCTAGGTTTAGAGTTGCCATGGGAACACACTTTCTGGGAAAGAGGTGAGTGCCATGGGTGCTTTCCAGACTCAATAAGGGGAGAAGACGTTTCAGCCTTCAGCACAGGAGGCCTTTAGCTTGCTTTTCCACCAGGCACTCACAATGCTCCTTTCTCCCACACGCCTCTCCCTACTTGGTCATTATGTGTCTTCTCTCACTGTCCTTCTTGTTTGTTACACAAAACAATCATAACACATGTGACCCTCAAATTTTCTTCCCATTCAAGTCTTTTTTGTAAATTCTAAATTTACATGTTACTCATGGCTGACTCTTGTCTTTTGGAAGAGCACAGTGGCCCTAAGAACCCAAACAAAAAGGTTTGAACCAGAAAACATTGTGTTGTGTTTGGTTTTGCTCTTTTGGGGGACCCTGCCATCCAGCTGCCAAATAAATACACGGATGCTTATTCTTATTTATAAATGCCTGGCCTTAGCTTGGCTTGTTTCTTGTCAGCTTTCCTTAACTTACATTATCCTGTCTATCTTTTGTCTCTGGGCTTTTCCTTTTCTATTACTGTATACCTTTCTTTGTTTCTTACTCCATGGCTTGCTGTGTAGCTGGACCCTGAGTCCTCCTCCTTCTCTGGCTACTTCTCCCCTCTCTCTCTCTCTCTCTCTCTCTCCCAGATTTCTCCTCTTTTTATTCTCCCTGCCTGCCAGTCCTGCCTATCCTTTCTCCTGCCTTGCCACTGATCGTTCAGATCTTTATTAGACCATCAGGTGTTTTACACAGGCACAGTAACACAGCTTCATAGAGTTAAACAAATGCAACATAAACAAAAGTAACACTTCTTTTTTTTTTTTTTTTTTTTTTTGGTTTTTCGAGACAGGGTTTCTCTTTGTAGCTTTGCGCCTCTCCTGGAACTCACTTGGTAGTCCAGGCTGGCCTCGAACTCACAGAGATCCACCTGCCTCTGCCTCCCGAGTGCTGGGATTAAAGGCGTGCGCCACCACCGCCCGGCATACAAAAGTAACACTTCTTAAAATAATATTCCCCAACAACATTGTTCATAGTACATCAGTAAGAAATGATGAAGTACTTGCTTAAAATAATTACCTGTGCTATTCCAGCCAACTTAAAAAAAGAAAGGGCCATAAAGAAATTCCAGTTAGGAAGATTAGGATCAATTTCCCTGCGACGGCAATATATCGAAATCAGTTCCTCCATCAACGGTATTCCTATAAAAACAGCACACAGCATAAACTTCAATAAAAACGCCACAGTGGACATTTCAGAATGGCAGAATAGAGCACAGAAGACACAATATGGCATGCAGTGCAAACCCAATCATCATTAAGCCTGTTCTAAACATTGATTCCCTAAGTAATATATGCAAAAAATTGTGTATTGCCAAAGATTATAAACAGTGAAATGCTAAGTTCAGAAAACCAGTGAGATGAATTAGAAACATTTTTAAGGAACAAAATCCTTATAAAACTGCAAGAAACTTATGTTCTTCAGCTCCAACAGTAATAAAGCGGAGTTTATATGAAAGGCAGTTTGGGTAGCTGCTCCCCTGTACCTGTGTTCTCTTGAATGTGAGAGCCTCCGTTTAACATGGGCAGTGTCCTGGGCCAAAAGTAAAACAAGGACAGGTGGGCTAAGTCCGACAAAGGGTGGCCGAAGGTCGAAAGCTCCCAGTCCAGCACCGCTATAACGCGACTCTGCAACAAGATGCACACAAGCCTTTGACACATTGAAATTAAAGCAAATGGAGGAAGGAAGCAGAGGACACAGTACATCCAACAATCGTATTTCCAACAAAATGCAACATGAGGTCATAGTTGGTAGTCCTTTCCCACAGTGGCACATCTCATGAAAACTAACCAGCTTCAATTTGTCTAGAGTCAAGGTCTCTGGTTCTACTGAGGGCTTCCAATCCTTCTGCACTCTGCCCTGACCGTCTCTGCTAACAGACACATGCAAACACAGCTCATACTTCTCAGCCAGAGGAACTGTGATAAAGAAGAAATTCTAATGATTAATTATATTTTAAGAATTAATGTATAAGCAAGCATATGGTGATGAATCTAGCTATGTAATAAGTATTCCATTACAGCAATAATATTTTAAAGTAAGTTACATAAACTTATCAAGAGAGAGCTGACTCTCTCAAATTGTCTACAGACAATGTGGCATGTGTGTGCCCTGACCTCACCACACACAAGATAAGCAAATATATTTTTAAAAATTTTAAAGGGCCGGGCGGTGGTGGCGCACGCCTTTAATCCCAGCACTCGGGAGGCAGAGCCAGGCGGATCTCTGTGAGTTCGAGGCCAGCCTGGGCTACCAAGTGAGTTCCAGGAAAGGCGCAAAGCTACACAGAGAAACCCTGTCTCGAAAAACCAAAAAAAAAAAAAAAAAATTTTAAAGGTTGCCAAATAATCTTCAGAGTTGAAATGATATGCACCAAGCTAACGGCAGTGGTTTACTTAAAGGGACTAAGGTTGCCCGGGCGGTGGTGTTGCACACCTTTAATCCCAGCACTTGAGAGGTAGAGGAAGGTGGGATCTCTGTGAGTTCAAGGCCAGCCTGGTCTACAGAGTGAGTTCCAGGACAGCTAGAGCTGTTAGATAGAGAAATCCTATCTCTAAATAAATAAATAAAAGGGGGGGACTGAGATTGGGGGTGAAGTATGGGAGCCCACAAAGATTCCAACTTGTGGTTTGACTCAAGGTCAGAGAGTCAGAGTTTATGTTGCTCTCCAAGGCTGCATAATAGGGTGCAAAGGCATGATCACCAGGTGTTTTATATTTCAAGGCCTGGTCACAAGAGCTTTGCCGTGGGGCATTGTCAGGTGTTTTGAAGGGTCTACACTTGGTTGTACATTGTGTTTTGATCTTGAAAGGGGATGTCTCTTGCCTCACCCCTTGCTAGTGTATAAAAAGCCCATTAGCAATAAACTCCAGGGTGCTGGGTATTGACCCAGGGCCCTCCCAAAGCTTTCCTGAGTCTCTGTCTTTCTCTCTGTCTACGTCTATATTTCTTCCTATTATTTCTCAATTCTTCACTCCCTTCAAGGGATCCTTTGATAGGTCAGGACTGAACCCCAACCCTGAACCCCGACAGTGAAGTGCAGAGAGTGCCACCTCAACTAAGAGAATTCTATACAGTGGCATGACATCATGGAGCTTGCATGAAAGGGTCACTCCGCACACTATGCTATGACTGACTGAGGGGACTGTAACAACGACTTAGGCAAATGATCCATTGCCTACAAGAGAAGAAGGAAGAGAGACTGAGGGACAGCCCCGGGGCTGTCCAGCCAGTCAGACACAGAGAAGCAATGAAAAGAAGATATACAGAAGTCAGAAAGGTAATAAGCAGGGAGGCAAAAGGCAAATAAAGAGAAACAGTTAATTTAAGCTAAAAGAGCTAGCCAGAAATGTGCTTAAGCTAGGTTGAGCTTTCAAAATTAATAAGAAGTCTCTGTGTCATGATTTGGAGAGCTGGTTGGTGGCCCAAAAGAAAAAGCCTTGTATAGACATATGTTCAGGCAAAACACTCAGACATATAAAGAAAGAAAGAGGGGGGACGGGTGGTGGTGGTGCATACCTTTAATCTGAGCATTTGGGAGGAAGAAACAGGTGGATGTCTGTGAGTTTGAGGCCAGCCTGGTCTACAGAGTGAGTTCCAGGACAGCCAGGGCTACCCAGTGAAATCCTGTCTCAACAAACAAACAAACAAAAAGTAAATAAAAATAAAAATAGAAGTGTGGTGGTTTGAAAGAAAATGGCCCCCAAAGGGAGTGGCGCTATTAGGAGGTGTGGCTTTGTTGGAGGAAGTGTGTCACTGTGCGGGCAGGCTTTGAGGTCTCTTTTGCTCAAGCTTCCCTTAGTGTGACTTTCAGTCAACTTCCTGTTGCCTGCAAGATGCAACACTCTCAGCTCCAACACCACGTCTGTATGCACACTGCCATGCTCCCTGTCATGAGGAAATAAAAAAAAAGCTGTGTGGATTTATAATCCCAGTACTCAGGAGGCTGAGGCAGGAGGATGGTGAGTTTTGTTGTGGGATAATCTTTTTGTACACTATGAAGGTGTCTCTGCCAAGGCACCTTCTGATTGGTTTAATAAAGAGCGGAAGGGTCAATAGCTGGTAGAGGATAGGTGGGACTTCCGGGTAGAGAGAGGAACTGGGGGAGGGGGGAGACTCTGAGAGGCAGGAAATTCACCATGGAGACACAGAGGGAGTCAGATATACAGTATGGAGGAGAAGTAATGAGCCACTGTGGCAGAACATAGATTAATAGAAATGGGTTAATTTAAGTTACAAGAGCTAGTTGGGAACAAGCCTAAACTAAGGCCAAGCTTTCATAATTAATAAAAAAAAAAATCTCCGTGTCATTATTTGGGAGCTAGCAGTCAAAGAAAGTCCGACTACAGAGTTTGAGGCTAGCCTGGGCTACATTTTAATGTCCTGTCTCTAACAAACAAGAAATAAAAGAGTAGAGTATGGTATGTATGATAACAGATAGGGTGTTTCGGTTTCAGATGACCGACTGATCGGTTACATGAGAAGCTGCAGGGGCCGGGGGTCCATGCAGCATTGAAGTTTGACTGTCTAATGTGGAAATCGGACTTCGCCACTGTCACAAACTGACAGCAGGTCTGTGAGCCACAGGTTTACCCTCAGTGGCTGGCATTACTAGTTAGAGTCACAAGCCTTCCTGATGGGATCAGCCTTCACAGAAGAAAAGGAAGTCCTCTTGATCATCCCCACCCACCCCTGCACAAAGTGAGGGCTGGGAAGAGGGCCAAGTGCAAACCCAGGGGATGCGCGTCTTAATCTTGGGCTCCTCAGCCCAGAACTGTGAGAAATGCTTGTTGGCTGTGATATAATGGCCCAAACTGTTTCTCTTTCTCTCTGCTCTGGATATATTTCCTCTCTCTTATTCACAACAGAAACCCTTCCCTAAGAATGGAGAAGTCAAGTTGGCAGTTTCTTTACTGTGCCTCCTTGCACAAAGTGACAAAGAGGAATGTGCTTTTTCTGACCTACCCCACACATTCCTGGAAGGTTTGTCACCAAAACTGTTTCTGTTTTATGTCCTAACCATCATATTCTAATGACCAAAACAAAACATTACTGTTTTGGTTTTTTTTTTTTAAACTTCAACCTTACAGAACAATCACAGTGCAATTAAAGATCTTTTCTAATTCCCTCCCCAATTCCAAAATTATTAGTGCATGTGCTGGGTGGGTTGTCTGTGAAGACAGAACCTCAACTGAGAAAATGTCTCCATCAGACTGGCCTGGAGGCAAGCCTTGCCGGGTGGGGCCTCTTGATTAATGATTGATGTGGGAGGGCCCAGCCCTCTCTGAGCAGTACTGCCCTTGGGCAGGTGGTCCTGGGTTGCATATGAAGGCAGGTCTAGCAGCCAGTAAGCAGCTTCAGTTCTGACTTCCCTCAGTGATGGACAAGGAGCAGAAGGTGTGAGCCGAACAACCCTTTCCTCCCCATGTTGCCTTTGGTCAGTATTTATCATCCCATTACAAAACAAACTAGGAGGTGCATATGGTGAGATGCAAATGTTCCTTAAGTTTTTAGGAAGAATAGGGCTTGGCAGGCACTCACAGAAAGGTAAGATGGAAGCAGAGAAGGAGGAAGTGGGAGGGAAAAGGAGAGCGGTGGGGGCTGAAGTAAGCAGGCATCAGCTGTGTATCAGGCCCAGGGAGTTGAGACCTATTTTACGGAATGTGGAGGCACTCTGGACCTCTCTATATTACCCTTCTGTTTCCTTCCATTTTAACACCCCCCCACCCCCCCACCCCCACCCCCACACGGGGTTTCTCTGTCTAACAGCACTGGCAGTCCTGGAACTTGCTTTGTAGACCAGGCTGGCTTCAAACTCACTGAGATCCGCCTGCCTCTACCTCCTGAGTGCTGAGATTAAAGGCATGTGTCAACACACCTGGCTTTAAAATTCTTTTTAAAAAATACTTTAAATTTTTATTTTATTTATGTGTGCGTTGCCTGCATTTAAATGCCATCACACAAGGAAGTACCTGAAGAAGCCAGAAGGGGGCGTGGAAGAGCAACCAGTGCTGTTAACTGCGGAACTCTCTCTCCAACCCCCAGGTTTTTATTTTTAACTCTTCGTGCTAGTCCACTCAGGATCGCTCCTTCTATACCTAGTCGTATAGTTCGCTCGACTAATATATCAGCATGTGGGTCTAGATTGTTCTCTTGCTGTTTCTCAATTATTTTTTTCTCTCCATCTGTGTTTTACGCTCATTAGGGGATGTGTTTCCTTCCTGATGAATGTTTCAGAGCACAGAGTTGGTAACAAGTGAATGCTTGTTGACTTCAATTCTGCCGCCACGTTACTTCCACGAATTAGTAATAATATTTAGTATTGGCAGAAGTTGATTAAATTCAACATAACTATTAATTATTAGATAGAAAATATTTTTTATTAACTATGATATAACCTGAAAACATCAAAGATAATATACATGTGCAAATTAGGATTGCAGCTGAACAGGTAAAATCTGTATCTACTGCTTTCTTTTTCAAAATACAAGATTTATTTTTATATTTATTTAAGTGTGTGTGTGTGTGTGTGTGTGTGTGTGTGTGTGTGTGTGTGTGTGTGTGTGTGTCTTGTGTACAGGGCCTGCAGACACCAGGAGTTGGCTCCTTTGTAACTGGAATTATAGATGGTTGGTGGCTTCCTTAGGTGGGTGGTGGGAACTGAACTCAGGTCCTCTGGGGGAGCAGTGAGAGCAGGAATCACCGATCCATCTCTCCAGACCCCCCTTGCTTTCTCTTTAAAAACAATCCTTTCCCAGACACTTTGATACATTGCTTGTCTGAAGACAGATGATGCCCGTTTTGGTGTTTTCATTGGGTTTAAAATCAAAGATTAACTACACAAGGAGGAAAACAATCCAGTATTTCCTGTAGTTTACTATCAGATTTAGTATGTTAGGACTATCTCTAAAATTTAAATATTGTAGTCAACAACATATAACCTATAAGGATCAAGGTTTAGACTTCTTCCTATTTCTTACTTGCCTTAAATGAAAACTAAAAGTACCCAGAATTACAGAACACAGAGGACTCTAGCATACTGAAAGGCAGGCTCTAAAATATCAATAAATCAAATCACATATATTAAAGACAGACCATATTCTGCTGTTTTAAGGTATAAGCTGCTATAATTTTCCAGGGCACAAATTAGCATTGCTCTATTTCCTAAGCTTAAAGTGGGAAGCTGGCAAAGTTAAATTCAGAAATTAGTGCCATTGACAAAAAGTTACACACACACACACACACACACACACACACACACACACACACACACTGTACTTCTGATGATTAGACAATGGTTCTCTTTCAAGTGGCACAGGGACCATTTATTCTCAGTATAAACCACACTTTGAAATTTCATCTTTCCTGCTAGCAATCTGAGGCATTGCACTCTCTCGTCATGCTGGGCAGTCAGGCAGACACACCATCACCCAGGTAAGTAACACACATTCTAGAGTGGATTGTGCTGCTAAACTTAATGCCCAGTAGATTAGTTATCCTAACTGTATTTTCAAATTAGGCTACTTCAGCTTATACCAGCTACCAGGCTCTAACCCTACTGTACGATGGGGGCTATGCAACCACACCCAAGCTGGCTTTGCTAGGAAAACTTTACTGACCTGCTGGTAAATGTGCTTACATGTGTTTATAAAATTCAGTTGATGTAGTTCTATTTTTAATTATGCCCATCGTGCTATACATAGTATTTTCTATTTCTTTTTTTTTTTTTTTTTTTTTTTTTTGGTTTTTCGAGACAGGGTTTCTCTGTGTAGCTTTGCGCCTTTCCTGGGACTCACTTGGTAGCCCAGGCTGGCCTCGAACTCACAGAGATCCGCCTGGCTCTCTCTGCCTCCCGAGTGCTGGGATTAAAGGCGTTTTGTTTTTTTTTGTTTTTTTTTGAGACAGGGTTTCTCTGTGTAGCTTTGCGCCTTTCCTGGAACTCGCTTTGGAGACCAGGCTGGCCTCGAACTCACAGAGATCCGCCTGGCTCTGCCTCCCGAGTGCTGGGATTAAAGGCGTGCGCCACCACCGCCCGGCAGTATTTTCTATTTCTATATATACTATTTATATAGTATTTTCTCCCTGCACTCTTTCTAAAGGGGAGAGATAGGAAGTAAGAAGCCCCAGCACATGAGCAATGCAAGTCCTGCAAACACTTAACACCAAGAGGATTAGTCAGCTAAGAAAATCCTCCTCTAGGAAGTAAGACTCAGGGAACTATAAATCTTCATTTGTTTGGGTTCTATCCAAAGAAGCACTCTGTGTATTACACAGGGAAAGGTTAGGTTAATCTCATGTAACTCGTGGGTGGAAGCCTCAAGGGGGCTTCTGGGATTCCTCCCTGAGCTTATACTAAACAAATGACAGATTCTCATGACACGGGATAGAAGAACTCAGAGGAAATGTAAGGGAACTAGAAGAAAGAGCTAGAATATGGGCAAGCTAAGCATTTTAGGTAGTAGACTGAACTCTTTGACAAGAGGGACACATGGCAACTTCCAAGTCCTGTGTATGTGATGACTATGATACTGTTGAAGATTAGGACCAGCCCCCAAGGCAGACAGGGTCCTATGCTATAACATCTGCAGGACTCATCTCCAGAGGCTTTGAGTCAGAGACAGTATGAGCTGTGGGGAGGAACAGACTGATCTAGTCTCCTTGAGCACTCTGGGGGTGGGGTTGGGGGACATCTGTTTCCTTCTGGAGTCTCAGGTCAGACCTATACAACACATCACAAACACGGCTCACAGTACCTCTTTGGGGTGGAAAACTATGTTATCCAGCTTGAAGTCTCCGTGAATCAGGCTCTCCTCATTGTCATTATGTGGCAAGTTCTTCATTAGCCACTTGGAGAGCTGGTCCATGGCAGGGATGTCCTGATGGGCTGCTGCCTGGTACTGCTTTGTCCAGGTGGATACCTGATGGTATAAATGAGAAAGTGATAGACGGGAAAAGAGAATGTGGGAGTTGGTGATTCTCAAATAAATCCATCTGTGCCTAAGTCCATTTGACTCCTAAATGCCTAACAGAACATTCCCCAAGTGAAACTCCTGGAAGCCTGAAATGCTCCAGCCTAAAACCCTGAACATTTAAGTTCCTTTCCCAGCTAGCTCCATTTTTCCTACCCAGGCTTCTATCAGACAAGAGTATAAATCCTTGTGGAGGTGTCAAAATGGTCTTCACACAGTGACTACTTCATGGAAGAAAGAAATGCATACAAACAACACACACACACACACACACACACACACACACACAGACAGACACACAGACAGACACACAGACAGACAGACAAGACACACAGACACACGGACACACGGACACACGGACAGACACACACACAGACACAGACACAGACACACACATACAATTTCTCCCTGAAAAGGGGATGATGAAGGCTAGACAGAGCTTTTCCCATTTAACATCCTTTCCTACACCAACAGAGTATTTTCAATGTACCAGTAGAGGAGACCAGACTTTGTATTGCTCAGAGACTGAAAAGCAAACAAAATCCACCTGTTCTCAGAGTCCTCAAACAAATGAGACCACATTATTCAGCTGTTCATCTCTCTCCATTGTCCAACGCCAATCTGCTCAGTTTAGCACAACAGAGCAAAGGTCTTCAACTTTGGGGTCTCACTGACTGAGGCTTGTCTAAGTATTTACCTGTCTATTATTAGGTCAGTAAAAATTTCAAATCCTCGTCTGCAAAATGAGGATAATCCCTATGTCTTGTGGGGTTTGCAGAAATTTAAAAAGGAGAATGTCTACAGCTCACTTAGCACCCAACACAGCACACAGTGAATATTCTCTCTGACTCTTCCCACCCCGCCCTCAAAGGATATACATAATGGAATGCAACCCACACACGCCGGCTTTCACTTGTATTTGATTGCAAGAATCACCATCTTTTCCTAACACTCTATATTATTTCTTCTCCAATAAGTTTTCCCCATCCAGGCAGAGGCATGCCAATCCCCATGCCCTGGACATATGGTTCTTGTGACGAACAGTGAACAATTTACTAATAGGTAATAAACTCAGGGAAATAGACCATTTCTCAGCTTCATGTATATGAGACTCATAAATGGGTTTCTCAAAAATGACCGTAAGTTTCTTTAGGGCAAGAATCTATTTCTGCTTTCTTGATATTATTATTATTATTATTATTATTATTATTATTATTATTATTTATTATTTTAGGTTTTTCGAGACAGGGTTTCTCTGTGTAGCTTTGCGCCTTTCCTGGAACTCACTTGGTAGCCCAGGCTGGCCTCGAACTCACAGAGATCCACCTGGCTCTGCCTCCCGAGTGCTGGGATTAAAGGCGTGCGCCACCACCGCCCGGCCCTGCTTTCTTGATATTAAAAAAAAAGTATTCCACAAGCGTTAAACACATGAAAGCTCAATCGATACTTGCTTTGCACAACTCAGAGAGGCAAAACCAAGTAGAAAATCCATTGGCAAACCAAGTGAGAGCTGAAACAGAAGGTTTTACTGAACAGAAGTTATCCAAAAAATAAAATCAGGGCTAGGGAGACGGCTCAGCCAGTGGAGGGCTTGCTGGGCAAGCAGAAGGACCTGAGCAGGATCACCAGAATCTACATGAAGAGAAAATAAAGGAAGGGAGGGAGACAAAGCCAGCCAGGTGTGGTGGACATGCTTGGAACTCTAGCACTGAGGAGGAGACAGGAGGACCCCTGAAGCTCACTGGCCAGCCAGACTAACCAGGAAGCTGCAGGTCAACCAACGAGAGGCCCTGTCTCAAAACATAAGGTGGGTGGCTCCTGAGTATGACACTCCCCATCCATGTGCACATACTTACATGTATATCTGCACCCACATGTGCACCCACTCAAAACACAATCACACACACACACTAACATTATTTCATGCTAAAAATATATCTGGATATATATATATATATATATATATATATATATATATATATATATATATATATATAGCCAAGGATGATGTTAAAATGGCAAAACTTCAGAGAGCCACACAATAACAGGGTGTACTTTGACTAGTCACTTCTGGTGCATTGTTTCTGGGAGCCTGAAGTATGTTTTAATGTAGACCGCTTACCTGTCTTTTGCAGTACCCGACTCCAGTACCGTAGCCATCCAGCTGCAGTGACTTGACATTCAGTGAATGTAGCCACGCCAAGGTTTCTATCACAGACACATATATAGCTGCGCGTTCTGCTGGGCTAACTCCGGGAAGTGAAAAATCACGAAATATGCGACCCTATCAAAAGGATCACAATGGTCGGTGTAAATAGCTGACACACAAAACATACACTTTATAGAGTATGTTAGGCATAGCTTTATTTGTGAAATGTGTGAGAAGCTACATACAAAGGCAAAATACAAGGACATGCCAGGATGAACCTGAAGGCTTTAAACTGCTTATAATCCACATCTCTAAATTACAAACTATTTGAATTTGCTCTCAATGGTTTGCTCTTTCTCTGTGGAAGAGCCTCCCCAGCCCCAAACGTCCCTTCCTGTTTGGTTACTGCCATTGTAGGTAGCTCTTTACTGACACCTAGCGGAGTGTTTAAGAACAAGTGTTTGAGATCTACTTACTAAATTTGCTTATCGTTCATTTTAGTCCCCTCATTGTGTGTACTTGAAACAAAAATTGTAAGCCCTTAGAAAGGAACTGTATTAAAATGCTGAATAAACAACATTAGCTATGACTATAATAACATTCAACTAATATAAGCCATAATTAACTCCATAATTAAAAAAAAAAGCAAGCCGGGCGGTGGTGGTGCACGCCTTTAATCCCAGCACTCGGGAGGCAGAGCCAGGCGGATCTCTGTGAGTTCGAGGCCAGCCTGGGCTACCAAGTGAGTCCCAGGAAAGGCGCAAAGCTACACAGAGAAACCCTGTCTCGAAAAACCAAAAAAAAAAAAAAAAAAAAAAAAAAGCAACAACTGAGTAAGACTTAACTTACCCGCACATGTTCCATCACATAAAATTCTGTCCCGATGACAGAAGCATCACTGCAGTACAGCAGAGGCTTGGGGACAGGGAATCCAACGGAGAACAAGGCTTTCTGGACTCTGAATTCTCTGTCAATCTAGATGGGATTATTAAAAAACAAAACATAGAAATTTTATAACTGTATGTGAGCTAATCTCAACTAAGGCTATCGGTTACAAAACTGTGTCAATAAATAACCCAGAGCTGACAGTAACCATTCCCTTAGTAGGAGGCCTGTTCAATCATTACAGTTACAAAGCGGGGCAGCTCCAAAGCATGCAAATTTAACTGGGTGAAAAAACAGGCATTTGTATGGGGCTTAATAGTGGCTCTTGTAGCATGAGGGCAACAGTCTGGCTATACTTCACAGGTTTTGTGAAAGAGCATCCCTCTCTTCTCAGCAGTCCCCTGCTGGCTTGACATCTTCCTTCACACTTCTCAAGGGGCTCAGGAGGGATTTCCTCTAGTCAGATACAGAAGCTGGGAGAGGTGGGTGGTGGTTGGAAAAGTCAACCATCCCTGTTGGACATCAAAGGAGAAGCATGCTTCCAAGGAGGGGGCATGAAGACCCTTACAGGTACGGTCTGTTGTGGAGATCCAGATAACTATGGGGGAACCAGGTAGCTAGAGCAAATTGGTATTAAAGCTGGAGCCCATGCGAAGACAAGAGGAAAAGTGACATCCTTGGCCAGAACACACATGCAGGCCCAGAAAGGACCCAGGAGTGTGGCTTATAGCAGAGCTGTGATACAGGGGAGCAAGGATGATTCATGCCCATGGACAGTGACTTGCTCTACAGGCAAGGGTGACTGACCAGTTCTGAGGAGCGAACACCAGGTAGCTCACCTTGATATCAATGCAGCCATGGAGCAGGGGCTAACTAAACCCAAGGTGAGAACAGCCAACAGTGCCAATGGCTATTGAAAGAGATGTGCGTAACCGCCCTGGTGCCAGGGGATGGGGGAGGGGGTAAGGAGCTGGGGACAAAAGAGTTCGGGAATTACAAGCTGGGCGGCAAAGCAGGAGCACTGCTTTTGAAAACACACACAGGCACGGGGATGCTGAGGGAGCTAAGACAAGGCATTCTACATCCGTGCGGCCGTGCTTAGGCTGAGAGCACGCTGCGGTCTGCTGCGGTCTGCTGCGGTCTGGCGGAACATAGCCCAGAAGAGAATCAAAGAAGACTGCTACCGAGGTATAAACTTCCAGTCAGGGTGAGGTTTTCCTTCAGGCATGCCATGCTGACATTAACAAAAGGTAACCAACTCTTTTTTTTTTTTAAGTATCCACGTTATTTCATGTTTTCAGGAATATGGCGAAGCTAAGAAAGTCAGAATCTGTGTTCCCTTATTACTATGATATTAAATCCACCCCACAATGATCTTTCCCAGTGAATGACTAGAAAGCACAAGATGTCCAGGTGGTGGTGGCACACGCCTTTAATCCTACCACTAGGGAGGCAAAGGCAGGGGATCTCTGTGAGTTCGAAGCCAGCCTGGTCTACAGAGTGAGTTCCAGGACAGCCAGGGCTACACAGAGAAACCCTGTCTCAAAAAACAAAAAACAAAAGAACTAACAAAAGTACGTGACTACAGTAACATCTACACACACAGAGTACTTAGAACGTTCTCCTGAACATGGATCTATGTCCTTTCCTGTTCTCTAACTATCCCAAGATAATGCCTGTTTTTGCAAACAGGAAAATTTAGTTTAGAAATTGACAAATCATGTTTGTATGTATTTATAAGGCATAGCATGATAACTTGGTTTATGTACATATTAGGTAGTGAAGAATTCTAAAATAATTAGAAAACTTAATTTGTAAGAAACATTTTTTATAATTCTCCCTGAGTAGTCTAAAACTTAAAACCTACTATACAATGATTACTCATGTCTTTTTTTCAAAACCACTGAATGATTAGAAGATGTCCAAAGCAAATAGATTAAAATAATTCAGCAGATAGAGACTGTCATTGCAGACACCCTTGGTATGTGGGGGAAAAGATCAGCTAGAAGTGAGTAGCGATGAACACACCCACAGGGAAGAATGGAATCCCACCAGGAGACCTGGTGCTGTTCAGGATGACAGTTTAAACACAGCTCTAGATTTCATCCCTTTTCAAACAAAAGGGGGTGCAGCTGAAGCGAATATTTAATTAAAAGAGGGGTGCATTTCCACTGGTCAGTAACGGTGAGAAGACTTTCAAATGCAGTCTGCATGGTCTCTGTGTTTTTCAGAGGCAGTTACTTGTGCTGGAAGAACTGCTCGCTGTGTGCTGTGCATACCTTATGTGCTTTGGGAAGAAGGGAGCCCGGAGGTTTCTTCCTGAGAACATAGGCTTGAGATCCTTTCTGGAGGAAAAAGGTTGGATTCGATTGTCCTGATCTAGAGAAAAAGGTTTTTAAAAGGTCAGTTATAAACATGTCTCCTTCCTCCTGAAATCCCACTGGAATGTCAGAAAAGACGAGAAACAAAAATAAATGGATCTCAGAGCTGGGTTAACCACAGGGGTGGCCCCCAGCAGCTCATAGAGGACACCGTGGTGACACAGCCTGCTGGCAGCCGAGGACCCTACAAACAGAACAGAAGAAATGCCTCTCCAGTTCTAACAGAGACGAAAGTAAGTAAACCAATGCAGAAGCCCCCTGCACTGGGGGACTTTTCCAACTCAACACAGCACTGGCTAAATCTCCCTCACTCCACCTAGCCAGCAGGGGGAAAACACTGATGACCTCAGCATACAAACCACTGAGCTAATAGCAATGACCGTTAAGAACTTGAACAAGATATCTGGTACTAAAGAAATTGCTGAAGACTGAATCCTTCTGTTTAGGTGGGAAGTTAGGGATGGGTTATTTAGATAAGATCCTGGTTGTCCATTAATATCACAAGACCCTAATATGCTACGCTTAGCCTCTTTGAAGCAAATAAATAAGTAGTACATATAGACAGGACAGAATCATGAATTTCTTCAGAGTCCTTGCAGTAACCCATCAGAAATGGAGGGTTTGTTCTGTCTCCTGTACCCCTGCAGGGACAGGTTAGGTGCAAGGGGGCAATGTGTGGGTCCTACCCTGGTTGAGAAGCCTGTCACAGTCCACACATGCCAATAAAACAAAACACCACAGACTAGGTAGTTTAGAAACTGCCAACACTTACTTCTCATGGTTCTAGTCTGAGAGGCCCGAGACCAAAGGGCCAGCCCTTGATGTGGAGTGATGACTTGCTTCCTTATTAATGGTGCCTCACATTATACCCCCACACAGAAGGGGGCAAGGCAGATCTCAGGGTGGGGAGTGGAAGCCAGGCAAGGGCACGGTTCTAGACCAAGTTACTTAGTGGGTGGCTTCAGCCTGACCCATGGATGCAGTGTGGGGACCGGACATGGGAAGAACTCTGTAGAGTTCTCCACCTGAGAGTCATCTTCTCTGAAGCAAGTAAGGTGCAGATGTTATCCTCCTGAAACTGGCCAAGTGCCATCTTGGATGCAACAACATTGAGGCCAAAGGAGGATCTGAGAGTCCGGGGACAGTTCCTCAAAAGAGTGACAAGAGGCAGGTGATGATTCAGTGGGTAAAGGTGTAGGGTAAAAGGGCCAGCCAAAGAAACACTCCTCACCTTGAAACCAGAACCAGTGAAAGAAATTTGACCTGGCCCTGAAACCAGAGCCCCAAGGTTAAAAAGGGCCAGTGAAAGAAAGACATGTTGGCTCTGAAACCAGAGCCAAAGAAACACACTCTGCCCCTGAGCAACTGAGCATGAAATCTAGCCAATCTCTGAGCTTGTCCAAGCTGGGGTGGGGGGGGGGGGGTGGGGGGGTGGGGATGAAACCCAACCAATTCCCACCCTGAAAATCTTTACCCTGGAAAAACTCCGCCCCTAAGAAGCCCTATATAAGCTCTGTGCCTGTTCAGTTGGCAGCTGCCTTTTGCCACTCTGGCAGAGGCAGCCACTCTCCTGGAATTCTCCCTCCCAATAAATCTCTTGAATGAGTTTTGGGTGAAGACCTTCTTTTGCTGGAGGGGCAGAGAAGTAACAACTTTGACTGGAGCAGGAGAAAACTGTTATATTTCTGCAGGATTTCCCCTTTAGTAGAGTGAAGCAGAGAAGTACCAACTTTCACCAGAGCAGAGAAGCAACGGACATCTCTGCTGAGAAACTCCCTTAGTGGAGTGGAGCAGAGAAGCAACGGACATCTCTGCTGAGAAACTCCCTTAGTGGAGTGGAGCAGAGAAGCAATGGACATCTTTGAGGGGAAACTCTCTTAGCAGAGTGGAGCAGAGCTGAGCTGTAACAGCTCTCTCAGAGAGAAGCAGGATTGCTACATTCTTTAGGGGAAACCATCCCCCACTGGAACACAGCTATAGGTATAGCCTGGCTTCCAACAGCCAGGATACCTTTCTTTCCAGGGATGTAGGTATAGGTTGGCTTCTGATGGCCAGGAGCCTGGCTTCCAGAGTTCCATTCCTGGGACCCACATTGTAAGAGGACAGAATCAACTCTGCAAGTTGGTTCTTGATTTCTGACCTCTATGTGTACACAGCATTATATTGTACACATGCACACACAATAAAAAGTAATAATTTTAAGAGTGATAAGTGCCGGCCACTGGAGACCTGGCAAAGCTGGGTGTGTCTAGAAACAAGTACACCTGGGAAAGCATCGGCATCTACTGAAATCCACTCTTTAAATTCATGATCACAAACCTCGACATGAGCCCCACATGGCAGTCGTATTTCCTCAGCTCACTAACCTCACTGCTCTTCTCCTCTGAAACCTCTGACCACTCTCCTCCACGTTTTTTTGCCGCAATCACCCCATGTTATATTTGAACAAGAAAACCAAAGCAACCAGATGTGAACTTGCACAAGCTCCCACCGCTTAGCTGTAGCAGGACCTTCTGTACCTGCACACAGAGTGCCTTCCAACAGCGGCAGGAAACATTGCACCCTACTTATGGACAGCCCCATCTTTTGTGAGTCGGATTCCAGACCATTCTTGTCTTCTCAAGGTCTTTGCTCTAGAATCTTCTCTTGTACAATTTTTTTTTTCGAGACAGGGTTTCTCTGTGTAGCTTTGCACCTTTCCTGGATCTCACTCTGTAGCCCAGGCTGGCCTCGAACTCACAGAGATCCACCTGCCTCTGCCTCCCCGAGTGCTGGAATTAAAGGCGTGCGCCACCATTGCCCAGGCTTTTGCATAAATTCTTAATCACTGGTTAGTGGGTTATCCTGAAGCCTTTTCCTGGCTCTCCTTTGTTCCCCTCCACTGCAACTGTCTTCCTCAAAGTCTGTGTTGAACCCACTTCAGTCAAGCTTTCGTCCCCAGCTTTCCACTAATGCTGCCTTTTCAAGGTCACTAGCACAAACCATGACACTCTTCTACCCTCCGGCCACTCCTCAAACTCCTTCATAGCCTCCTTTTTTTTTTTTTTTTGGTTTTTCGAGACAGGGTTTCTCTGTGTAGCTTTGCGCCTTTCCTGGGACTCACTTGGTAGTCCAGGCTGGCCTCGAACTCACAGAGATCCGCCTGGCTCTGCCTCCCGAGTGCTGGGATTAAAGGCGTGCGCCACCACCGCCCGGCTCATAGCCTCCTTTTAATTCTGCAACTTCTTACTACTGGGGTGCTGTGGCTGGATCAGCAAACTTCCATTTTATTTTTCTAGGTAAGCCTTTCTACCTCGTGGCTTCCAATGCCTTCTTTGTCAACTGCTACGTCTAGACCAGGTCTCTGCCCTGAAACCATATCCAGCTGGTTACTCTAATACATTCACTTAAGTGTCTAAGAACCATCCTGAAACTCACAGAACAGAACTTCCATAGTCTTTCTGTATTGGTACCATTTCTCATCACTATGCCAAAGTGACTGCCGGAAGCAATTTAGGGGAGATAGAAAACCACTTTTTCTGGGCTCCTGGTTTCAGGGTATATGGTCTGTCTCATGGGGAAAGCATGTCACAGTGGCTCCGTCTATGGTGGCAAGAGATTGCAGCAGTTGCTTCAGCGAATCAGGAAGCAGAGAGCTCCAGCTGGCATCAGAAGCACACATGACCTTCAAGGCCTGTCTCCCCCGCAACCTCCCGAAACCCCGCAACCCACTTCTATGAGCTAAGCCACATGTCCCAAAGGTTCTGTTGTCAGTGGTCTGGGTGTTTCCAGGTTTGGGATGTCTTATCCAAAGAACTGAAAAAGCACACATCAATGTCAAGACACAAGAAGTTTTATATAGACGGTGTAGGGTCTAATACAAAGAAACATCAGGATACTTGAGCAAGGGTGCCCCAAAGCAGTAGTTATTGTTTGGGGCTTTTTTTTTGTGGGGTCCAGGAGGAGAACGAGTTGGTTGCTAAGGGTCATACTGTGGATGGCTCTCTGCTTTGATTGACAGGCTTGGGTTATTTAAGTCTTTATTGTGAATGTCCTTTCCCATGACGAACCTGATTTTACTAATACACATGCCTAATCAAGAATAGGCATAAGATGGTAATACAAGTTTTCCCTAAAAGTTTACTCAGAGGACATAGTTTGCCTTACTATTTATACCCCCCAAACTAATCCAGACCAAGTTGACCTTTTGCATCTAATTCCAGAATATTTTCCATCTGTTCCAAGACACACGTTGAATGAACACCAAGCAAAAAAATGCCAGTCACCCAAGGGTTGCCAAGGCAGGAGTGACCTACTGCACCACAGCTTGATTCAGGTAGGGGTCCCAGGTGCTAAGTGATTCAGGTAGAGGTCCCAGGTGCTAAGTGTTTTATTAGAAAGGTAGCACTCCAAGTGGGGTGCCAAGAGGTTACACTTTGCCTATATTTGCCTGCCTCAGCCCCACCAACTACTGAAGCAGTTCTGGCAGCCAGGGACAGAGAGCTCAAAGGCATAAGCCTGCAGGGACGTTTCCCATCAAACCATGACACCCTCTACGGTCACCTCTACTTTAGTTCATGATAACCCCATTGCTGTGGGATGGTCTGTATGTCAAATGTGTTGCTAATTAGTCAATAAATAAAACACTGATTGGCCATTGGCTAGGCAGGAAGTGTAGGCGGGACAAGGAGGAGAATAAAGCTGGGAAGTGGAAGGCTGAGTGAGAGAGACACTGCCAGCCGCCACAATGACAAACAGCATGTGAAGATGCCGGTAAGCCATGAGCCATGTGGCAAGGTATAGATTAATGGAAATGGATTAATTTAAGCTGTAAGAACAGTTAGCAAGAAGCCTGCCACGGCCATACAGTTTGTAACCAGTATAAGTCTCTGTGTTTACTTGGTCGGGTTTGAGCGGCTGTGGGACTGGCAGGTGAGAGATTTATCCTGACTGTGGGCCAGGCAGGAAAACTCCAGCTACACCCCATGCTTAGGTACCACGGCAAAAGCAGAACAGCCCCATCTCTCCCGTTCCTAGCCCACGTCTAATCAATCGTTCTTTCAAATCTACCCAGACTGTCTCCTCTCACCTATTTGACCCCACCACACTGGTCTGTCCCACAAATGTCTCTGCTGGAACTCTGTGACATACTGGTTTTGTTTTCACTTTTACCCTCTTCAGTCAACTCTCAACACAGCAAGCAGAGTTTCTGTTAAAAACAACAGTGATGACGAACAGAACTTCTTCCTCTCCTCGGAAATCTCTAATCTTTCCCACTTCAACTCAAAGCAAAGGGCAAAATCCTTATGACTATCGGCAGGGCTCCTGTTGCCCCACTTAGGGTACTGAGCCCACACTGCTCGGGATTTCTCAGCCTATGACGCACACTCCCCATCCCTGGCCTTTGCCTCAGTGGCCCACAGTGTCTGGAAAGCTTCTGTGGTTTCATCCTCAGCCCCTTCTAGTCTTTGTTGACCGCTACCTTCTCAATGCAGCCTGCCTGCCTGCCTTGTCCTCAACACTTTCTGCCCCCATACCACACATAAACCTGCAAATAATACCTAGAGATCCTGTTTGTTATTGTCTGTCTGCTTCACGTAGAGTGGAGAATGCAGAAGACCAACCCCAGTGCCGGGCACACGTTAGGCATGAGGCTACAAGACGGAAGTTTTATTGTATCACGCTACATTTACATTGTTGTTTAATGATATTTTATATTCCCAAAGTGACTTAATATTTGAAAGTTAAAACTTTTGCATAACTAAAAAGAACGTTTACAAAATCTAGAAGGCACAGAATGACTATAGCAAACAAAAGCCATATTATTTTTTGTTGTTGTTGTTTTGAGACAGGGTTTCTCTGTGTAGCTTTGGAGCCTGTCCTGGAACTCGCTCTGTAGACCAGGTTGGCCTTGAACTCACAGAGATCCACCTGAGATTAAAGGCATGTGCCATCACTACCTGGAGACAAACGCCATATTCTATCTTGAAGAAATTGTCTTATCTCTGAATAACTGTTTTGCATTTTGTACTTACTGCTCTCTTGAGGTTTATCTCCTTAAGCAACATGCTCTATATCTGTCCATTGTTTTATATGTGTTATGTACAGTTGTGATTGAATCTTTTTCACTGATGTATAGTAGTCCACTATGTAAATGAGTAATTTATTCTTTCATTTTACTACTAATAAATATTATTGTGCTTTAAAGTTTTTCTACTACAAGCAACACAATGAATGTTCTGAGATTGATTTCCTGATATTCTGGCATAAAATTTTCTTGACATTACAGGATAATGAAAAAGGTTGGTCAACAGTAGTTAGAGTGACTCATACCTTAATGAGTCTTTAATGTCTCATATCCTAATCAATGCTGGATATATACATATGTACACACACATATCATGCATATACATGATGTGTGTGAACATGTATGCCACCATATGCATAAGGAAGTCAAAGGACAGTTTTGTGAAGTTGTTTAAGGGTGACTTTGAACCTCTAATCTTATCGCCTCTGTCTCCAAGTGCTAGGACTACAGGTATCACCACAGACTATTCCTGGTTTATGAGGCACAGGGGATTGACCTGTAGTTTCATGTCCACTAGGGGGCACTCTATTTACTGAGGGAGACCCACAGCCTGAGTGGTCCTTTCCTTACACACAATAACATTTCATAGGGATAATTATTCCACCACAAGTTCGTGAAAGGTCTTTTTCCCATGTTCTTCCCACTGCTGCCAAGCTGGTGCTAAGTGTCAGCCCTGTCTCGTAAGTTCTATAAACATGTGGGTCTTCTCTGAACTCTAGCTCACTGACATATTTAATTACCTGTGTGCTAATAATATGCCACCTTAATTCAAATTCCCCACTCTGTTTTTCTTTAGGAGTGTTTCTGTTAACCCTTTGGTCTTTCACAGAAAACTTAGAAGTGTTTTTCTCAAATTAGAGAAAAAAATTGGATTTTGATTGACACTGCTTTGAATCTATAGATCAGTTGGGACAAAAAGCAAGTTTACAGTACTGACTTTTCCTGTTCATGTATGTTATTTCTAAATTTCTAAAATTCTTTAAAAATTCCTAATAAGGTTTTGTCATGTCCTATACAAAGGTCTTGCACATCTATTATACTGGTGTTTAGGTAACTGGGTTTTTAAAAAATGTTATCAGAGCTTTTTGAATGTCATATTTTGATGGTTGCTAAAGATATAGAAATGTATACTTATCTTTTTTAAATTTTTTTTTGAGATAGGGTTTCTCTGTGTAGCTTTGCACCTTTCCTGGAACTCATTCTGTAGCCCAGGCTGACCTTGAACTCACAGAGATCCTGAGTGCTGGGATTAAAGGGGTATGCCACCACCACCCGGTGTGTATACTTATCTTAACAAACTATTACCAGGTAGCTCATTGGCTCGCTAACATACGAACTGGTTAGTTTGTACACGGTATTTGTTGGCTGTTTTTGTCCTGTTAAAAAAGTTTGCACTTATATTGTGAAAACATGTGCTTTTTTCTTTTTATATTTATTTATGGGGAGGGGGGCATGTGTGGAGGTCAGAGGACAACTTTCAGGAATCGGTTCTCTCCTTCTACGAGAAGTGGTTTCCAGGGCCTGACCCCAGGGCGTCAGGCTTGGCAGCAGGTACCTTTATCTGACCTTTATCAGAAAGCCATCCCACTGGCCCAAAGTTTAAAAAGAGTTTTTGATATTTTTGTGGCCTAGTATGTTTTAAATTTTTATAATGTTTTCATCTGTCCAGGAAATGAATGTGTCTTCTCTGTTGAGTCCGTACTTCCATACATATACACTAAACCAAACTTATATAACATTTCTGGGAAAATAGTTTTTGAGACCAGGGATTGCTACATAGCCCATGCTAGCTTCAAATTCACAATCATCCTTCCTTGGCCTCCAAGTGTTGGGATTAAAGCTATGTAGCACCAGGCTTGGTTTCAGAAGTAATTTTTGTATCATAACTAATTTCATTTATTGAGCATGATTTTGGTGAACATCAACTTAATTCAGAATTATTTTTAAATCAACACAGGAGTACAGTAGCCTGAAGATATATAACCTTTATCCGAAAGCAGGATAGGGTGTTCAAATGAGAAGCTGGCCAAATTCCACACGATGTGGACTAACCATTGAACTTTGATCTGTTTACAGCACAAAGCATTAATTTTAGAAGTGTCAACTGTTCTTTATTTCACCTCTATACAGATATTTCAATGTTTAAGCCCTTTCACCTACATAACTTCATTTCCTTATCAAGACTAATGGGAACAGGCAAATGTTACAAGAAAGAAACTTTGGCCTCAGGATTTATGTCGCAGTTAAATCCCTATATTGAAAGACACAGTTTACTGGAACCATATAAAATGGTTTATACTGGGACCATATAAAAAGGAAAAACTATCTATTGCAAAACATCAGATTAAAGTCAGATTCACCTGTCAGTGGGGACAGGAACTCCCAGGGTCACCTCACCCAGTTTAATTCCCTTGTTTCAAGAACTTAGGCCTGACGTGGTGCTGAATATGGCTAAGTGGAAAGCTAGAGTCTGAATCTGTATACTTCAGGTGGTGTCATTAACCTAAACTCAGGCGACTAAGGTCAATTAAACAAAATAGCACCAGCCCTTCAGAAAATGATCTTTAGATTGTAGCAGAAAAGGTCACAGAAGGTATCTATTTCTCCCAAAGCGTCCAGCTTCATCCATCTCAGTGAGTTAGGCACACGATTTTAGTCCTTAACAAGACTGCATTGCATAATGGACACTGTGCCTCTACTACTGCCTTCTAATTCAGACTAGCCCGGGATTCAAGGACAAGCCACACAGGAAGCGTCCTTGCAGGGAAAGAAATCGCGACTGGGCAAATGAGAAACCCACCCCGGGCCAAAGGCAGAAAAGCACCAAGCACAGACTTGCTCCAGGTGGAGGCGAAGGCTATGGTAGATACCTGTATTGGGTAACAGTCAGCACAGCCCGGGGATCTGCCCCAAAGCCAGGCAAGTGCTGATTCAGGTAGGCCTCCAGGCACCTGATGTCCAACTTGTGCTGGGGTAGCACTTCCACGGTGTCACTGGTGACATCCATCTCCATGACTGCCACTGCTGTCACAGGGTACAGAGAAGAGGAACCCGGACAGCGCAGAGGTAGCGCAGCGGGAGGAAAAACACACTAGAGCTTGGAGGCGTGGCCAGGGCGGGGCTTAGCGGAAGCCAATCACGTGAACTCTGGGCGCCGTTGCTAAGCCGTGTGGGCAGCTGACTTTAGTGACTTGGGGTCTGGCGGAGAAATGAAGGAAGCGCTTGCTGTGGGCCCCAACTTATAATTTTCTGTGGGCCCCAACTTATAATTTTCTATCAGCGTCAGAGCTGGAGGCCTCGATTTTATAGAAAAACAAGGTCACAAACATCACTCGGACGAGTGAAGACGCAGAGATCGTCCACCCTAGATTCAATGACGCATCAGGCGGAAGGCCCGTTTAGTCCGGCTAAGAAGAGGGTCCGCCAGGACCTTGGGTCACGGAGGAAAAGACCTCGGTGTTCCTCATGGTCTCCTAGAGTAGAAAGACAGAATCGCTGTCGCCCTGATCTGGACACATATGACGCTGGCCTTGCTGCGGCCTGGTTTAGCGGCTCTAGAGAAGAAAGCCAACCGTTAGGAGGAGTGTTTTTGCCGAGGGGAGCCATGACGGCGGCGCACCGGAAGCGGCGCGCCGGAAGAGCGGAGGGCGTGGCGGAGACGTGTCTAACTGGGATGCCTGGAGGCTCTTCCCGGGTGTCGGGATCCGGAAGGCTGTGCCCAGTCCACCTGCACTTCGTGGGCCCAGCGAAGCAGCGTGGGGCGGCGGCGGCGGCGGAGGCCCAGGCTGGGAGCGGAGGCGGCCGGGGGCCCAGCCATGGCCGAGTCGGTGGAGCGACTGCGGCAGCGGGTTGAGGAGCTGGAACGAGAACTTGACCGGGAGAGAAGCCGGCAGGTCGTGGGCGGCCGGACCCGCATCGAGAAGATGAGCTCCGAGGTGGTGGATTCCAATCCTTACAGGTGAACCCTGGCGGGGCGGGCAGGGCCACGCTCCCCTCGCGGGGTTCAGCCGGCCTCCTGCGGCGCCTTTCTTGCTGGGGAGGTCCTGTTCCTAGATGGGCAAGGCCACGTCTTAGTGCTAGTCAGAAAATAACCCTTGCGGAGCGTGGTGTCTCACGATTCATCCCAGCTTTCGGGAGGGTGAGGTGGTGGTGGGTGTCGCGAGTTCCAGGCCAGCCTGGGCTACATAATGAGTTCTAGACCAGCGTAGGCTGTACAGTGAGACTCTTTTTTCCTGCACAGAGGAAAAATAACATTTTATTTTAAAAAAATCCAAGCCAGGCGTCCATATGGTGCAACTCTTGTGCCCGCTGTCCTGTGCCCAGTTTCTTGTCACCCTTGACTCTTTATTAGTCTACCTTGCTCTGCATAAGGCTGATTGCCAGTAAGCTCTGTCAGAACACAACATCTCATGCAAAGCTGCCAAGGATAGACTAGTTTCCGAAAGGCTCAGTGTAACGCAGATGAGGCAGGGCGAGGGAGACTTAGTTACTAGGGGGCTCAGGAACATCTCTGATTGATCAACTTTACTAGACCTGCTTACTCCTGTCCTTTGCTCCCCCTAAAGGACTTACTAATTTATGAGGGAGAATGCAGAGCAGTGGTTAAGGGGAAGGCCTCTGCGTCAAGACTGAGTGAATTTATTTCTCAGCTTAACGAATAGCCAGTAACGTCTAACAGCTGCTAAGCTGCTTCAGATTACTACCTGTAAAGTGGGACCATAGGAATGTCGTTTCTGTCATAGTTATGAAGACTGAAACAGTCAGTTTATGTGAAGTTCTTAAAACAGCGGTTGTACATGGCAAGCTTCGTACAAGACTGCATTCAGTAGCATGCAGTTAGACCTTTCAGTTCCACATGTTTTTCTTCTCACCACAGCCCTGGGATTGCTATTATTTCCATCTCATTCTGTAGGTGAGAAAAGTGAGTGTTCTAGAGCTGCTTTAAGTAGATTGTAGTAAACAAAGGAATCTGAGTGGCGTTAGGTTTCTGCCCAGTAAGTCAGTAAGCCTGTAAGTAGTGTGACTAAAAACTGGGTAGTTTAACATAGGTGAAGTTACAGAAAGAGAGCAATGTGTGTGGTGGGTCCAGAGACACTCTGAGATGATGAAGCTGGAAACTCATGACTGTGAATGTCTGTAGAGAAGTTTAGAGAACTACTGGAGTTAGCTTGAGTAAGTGAAAGCATGCAGGAGATTAGGCATAAGGAAAGCATGGTTGTTGCCTTGAGGAAAGGAGGTTATGGAGGAAAGGGAAAGTTCTAAAGCACCCACCCAGCAGTGAACAGTTAGGATCTAACCAAAAATGGCCAAGGCTCCTGGGGCAGGAATGTTTGTGCAGCAGTGATGGACATTTACGAGTAAAATCTTCAGAAGACTGAAAAGCAAGAGGTGAAAATACTGTAATAGTGTGCATTTATAGATATGATCACATGGAGTTGAAAGTGGGAAGAAAGGGGTCAGCCCAGAGGCCTGCTGACTTTCCTAACATCCTAATATCCACATGTGCCATAAAGAACAAACATCTGAAAACTTAATATACCCACATTTTATATATGTATGTATACACAGTATGCACACACATGCACACACTCAGGTAATAGAGCAGAGGACCAGTAGCTGAAGTGCTTGGGATGCAACAGATGCTTCCAAAACTAGACATCATCCATTATGGACAGAGAGCATGAGCTTATTTCATTTCTTTGTATATTAACACAGCATGGGAAAATAATAACATTTCTCTTTGACCCTTAACATTTAAGCTATTAGGTGTAGATCTTAGCTACGCATTAGGATAAAGAAGGTTCTTTAGAAGAAAAATGCTGTTTCACAGGCTATATCCAGGAAAGTCCATATTTTTAAACCTACCCAGTGATTTATTCTTACCTAGTAAAAGTTAGCTTTTTTTTTTTTTTTTTGGTTTTTCGAGACAGGGTTTCTCTGTGCAGCTTTGCGCCTTTCCTGGGACTCACTTGGTAGCCCAGGCTGGCCTCGAACTCACAGAGATCCGCCTGGCTCTGCCTCCCGAGTGCTGGGATTAAAGGCGTGCGCCACCACCGCCCGGCAAGCTTTTAAGATCAGTAGGTCATCATATTTGCTTTGTACCCCAGGCTGGTCTTGAACTCCTAATCCTCCTGCCTCAGCCTCTAGAGTGCTAGGATTACAGATGCCTGCCACCATGCCCAGCTAGATTCCTCTTCTTTTGAATTAGTAATAATTGAATTTGGTGATTGTTTTATTTGATGGTGCATGCCTATAAATATCACTGTTAACTAAAAGATTACAAGCTTGGGGCTGGAGAGATCAGTGGTTAAGAGCACTAGCTGCTCTTCCACAGGACCTAGGTATGATCCCCAGCACCTACATGGCAGGTCACTGCCATAACTCTAGTCCCAGGGGATCTGACACCCTCTTCTGGCCTCTGCAGGCACTTCGTGTACCTTCAGTTCTGCATGTATAAGCGTACATACAGGCAAGCCACCCATACACATTAAAAAAATAAAATAAGAAAAGACTGCAAAAGCTCTGAAACTTTTTTTTTTCTTTAAGCCGCCTGATGGCCTTGAAACGGATGGGAATTGTCAGTGACTATGAGGTATGATGCACCTTCCCAAGCTTCTGAACTCGATTTCAGTAAACGAGAATAATTTCCAGTGACAAACCAAATGGAGAGTAGTAACCAGCACATGTATCCTTCTTTGTTTCACAGAAAATCCGTACTTACGCTGTAGCCATAGTGGGTGTTGGTGGAGTTGGTAGTGTGACTGCTGAAATGCTGACAAGATGTGGCATTGGTAAGGTAAAAAGATTTCTCTTTGCCTGTCCAGTAGGGAACTGTGCACTCCTGCAGCGAATCAGGTACAAATTAGCACTCTTCTGCTCAGCCAATCAGTCAGTGGTTTATGATTTCTGTTAGGTTTATGGAAATTGCTCTTCTCGAGGCTGAGTCATATTCCTCTCCAGACAAAGGCTCGTGTTATTGATAATTAAACAAAGGGTATTTAATTGTGTTGAGGACCTTTTGTTTAGGGTAGTGTAATATGTAAGTAATTTGGAATTATTTTAGATACAGAACCTGTTAGAAATGATTCTGGGGTGCCCCTCTCCCCCAAAAAAGACCACTATAGATCTATAGTATTTTAGCAAGGCAGAAATTTTACTTCTGCAGGAGGGTGCATAGCCATGCCAAATCAAGTAGGCAAGCCCACCCCGTGGGTTCTGCTGAGTTTGTATTCCTGATGTAAGGGCTCCTGTGCCCCACTCTAAGTGGTCAGAGTCAGCCCCGCACTCTTAATTGCTGGCTGATTGCAGACAGCCCAGCTGATGAACGGAGTGCAACTTTTAGGACAGGCTACAACCTTGGGCGTATGTTTTGATCTCAAGAAGCGCGGGCTCTGGAGGAACTCAAGTTTCTGCCAAGGGGCTACTGTATTTTTTTAAGTTATTATAATTATTTATTCTTCTCTCATACAATACATCCTGACTGCAGCCTCTCCTCCCTTCACTCCTCCAAGTTCCCCACAATAGTTTTTAAAAACAGAGTTTTGTCTTATTTAACCCTTTGATACAAAAGACATTTAAATGGATAAAGTGTGCAAATGAAGCACTCAGATCTTGAAAACCTTATTAAGTGCTCAATTAAATACACACAGGATGGAAAGCATTGAATATAATCTAGGGGATGTTTTAGATTTTTTTATTTAATCCATTTTGTTTTCTTTTAAAAATGGACTAGAATTGTAAAAAAGAAGTAACTTACCTTCTGCCAGAATTTAATATGTCAATCTTTGGTTTATAAAGCCAAGGACTATTGTTGTTACTTAGTGGTTGAATAGATAAGTTTTCCACAATTATCTGCCCTGCTATTTTCATAAAACATACATTCTCCAATATCATTTGTCAATAAGTTAATATTAAAAGATAGCGGTTGCGAAATTGGCCCTCATTTATTAATATAAAAATGATGCCAATAAAATACTTAAAATGCTTATTATAATTGTAATATCTTTGAAGTGGTTTACAGAAGCAGGCCAAACTATTGCTTGCTGATGACTTGAGTACCCTGTTGATTGACAGGATATTGGAGATGCTGGAGATTAGTAGTTAAAAGTTGAGTATGTGGCCATATTAAAACAGACTGCCAGACCTCAGTTATGTGGCTTTAATCCTGTAGTGTCAGGTAAACCTGAAAATTGTCACAACTGGTTTCGGGGTAATCCTGCCATTGCAGAAACTAAACACTGAGAACCACTGGGGCCTTGCCTGGGCGTTTGCTAGGAGGGAAGACTTAAGGTGCAGCGCAGACAACTGACTCAGAATCTGTCTTTTCATAGACTGCAGATTAATGTGGGGGAAGTGCTTTTCGCCCACTAACAATTTCTGGTGATGCAGATGCTGCTCGATGAGCAGTCATTCTCGAGGACCACTGCAGTTAGAACCGCTCATGTCCGGTTACACCCATAGTAGGGAATAGGAATTCTGGCGGTGAGATGCAGACACCTGCATTTTCAGTAACTCTGCCGGTGATCCCACTGTATGCCCAGGTAAACTAAGACTAAACAGATAAGCTTCAGGAAGTCTTTCTTCTAGCTGTAAAACACATAAGCAAGAAGCTAATGATTAGGTTTAGTGGGGAAATGGTGCCTAGAAGACCCAAAGCCCATTTCTTGTTTCTGCAAGTATCTGCAGCTCCCTGGATCACCAAGTCTGCATCAGCCACTTTCCTTTCCAGATGGGCAGCAGGCTGGAAGGTCGATGTCATTTCCTGTGACCTAAACCAAGTAGTGGCAGTTACAATGTCTACTTCTTTTAAAAAAGCCAACTAGCAGTCATAAACTCAGATTTAATGCTCTGTCTGATGTAGTAAATATTATTGAATGAGCCTTGGTTCAAGGACTTGGAGTTCTAAAGGCCTAAGTGGCATCTCTGTCAATAAGATACTAAAGGTTCTCTGGGTGTTGTCATAGGCTTTTTTTTTTTTTTTTTTTTAATGTTTCTGTATTGAGAAGAGTAAAATCAGGTCTGGGGATGTAGCTTTGTGGTAGAGCAGTGACCTAGCATGGATTAGGTCCCAGGTTCAATCCCCAGCACTGAAAAAAAAAAAGAAAACGAGAGAATAAGCTCTCACTGTTACAGATTCATAGAATCTAACCTGTTCTTACTGATGAGAAATGTGACGTACTCATTTTAAGTGAGGAGTGTACATTGGCAGACACTGAAGCAGACCTAAGAAGAAAGCAGGGAAAATAATTACCTGGTTGATAACTCTCTTTGGAGTAATGAGGTTTAGCCTCAGCTTGGTTATGTGGTCTGTCATACAAAGGGAGTCAAGGAAAAGAAAAAGGAATGCAGTAAGATCTTGGCACAATTTTTGCAACACTCAGTGAAACGGAGCAGGCTCCCCTCTGTCACTGAGCCTGTCTGTAGAAGCAGCACAGCCTTGGCTTGGGGAGGGTTGCTGCGCCCAGAGTCCTGCATTAGCTGAGTGCCCTTCATCAAGGCCCCTCGATGCCCTGTCAATAGCTGAGGATAAGAGGAGCTAGGCATTTACCTCACAGGACATTTAGTAAATCACTATAAAACACCAAGTGCCTTAGAATTAACTACTGTTACTTCACCACTACCGTTAAACCTATCAAATGGAAAATCCACTAGTTTAATGTCATTTTTCACCGAAATACCACTGTTACCACTGTTTTCATTTCAGTTACTGCTCTTTGACTATGACAAAGTGGAGCTGGCCAACATGAATCGACTTTTCTTCCAGCCTCATCAAGCAGGACTGAGTAAAGTGCAAGCAGCCGAGAACACCCTGAGGTAACCACAGTATAGCAAAGGGCCCCACGCACTGGGTCTTGTTAACTGCAGTGTGGTAAAGGGCCCCACGCCCTGGATCTTGTTAACTGCAGTGTAGTAAAGGGCCCCACGCCCTGGATCTTGTTAACTGCAGTGTAGTAAAGGGTCCCACGCACTGGGGTCTTGTTAACCGTAGTGTAGCAAAGGGCCCCACACAGTAGGCTGTTGTTTTGTGTACCTGTTTTGTGAGCTAAGCTAAGTGTAAATGGACTTGGATTTTTCGCAATGAAATGCATTTCACAATTATGCAAAGAATCCTCTTACTTCTTAGTCCTGGGTCGTGTGTAGAGTGTGCTTATTTCCATCTTTGCTGCACTGCTTAGCTGTGGAGCCACAGTGTGAGACTAGCCCTAGACAGCACCAAAATGATGGCGCACACATGCCTTTGTTCCAGTAAAACCTGAGTTTTAGACTCTGAAGTCTGAATTTTATTTTCATATCCTGAAATTCTGAAAAAGATTTTTCCCCGACCGTTTAAGAATTGTTCTTAGTGGCGTGTGCTGGCTGGCATCTGCTGCAAATGCCAGCGCACAGGGAGCTGAGGCACGTGTGAGGAGTGGCCCAAGTTTGAGGTCAGCCTATACTGCATAGCAAGTACTGGGCTGAGCAGGACTGCATGGCAAGGCATAGACTCGGAACAAAAACCCAAACCAGGCAGTTCTTACCTTAAAGGCTGTACCAAAAATGTAACATTTGCTTTCTCCTCTCAGGAGCATTAACCCTGATGTTCTGTTTGAAGTTCACAACTACAATATCACCACAGTGGACCACTTCGAACATTTCATGAGTAGAATAAGGTATAGTTTATGAATACTTTGTGCAGTGTCTTGATGTCCAGCTCAGTTAAACAAGTTCAAGAAAATCTATTGACAGATTTTTCATCTTTTAGGAAAAGTAATTTTTGTGTAATGTTTATGTATTAGGATATAGTCTACACACAAACATATGTATGTTCCAAAAAATAAACTTGGAAAAATAAATCCCTCTGGAAATTACAAAGATTCAACAAGAGGCCTTCAGTTTTACCTCCTATGCTCTAGACTAAATTTTATCCCTGAAAATTGTTTTCTTCACACAGCCAGGACCCTTGAAATAATTTTATTTAATTAGCTTTATTACATGTATATTTGTGGGGAAACGTAAACAAGGCAGTGAAACTTGCTGAGTTCAGTGGCACAGGCCTGTAATTCCATCTTAAGTTCGAGGCTAACCTGCACAACTTAGACCCTTTTACTTTTTTTTTTCAGAGCTGAGGGCTGAACCCAGGGCCTTGTGCTTGCTAGGCAAGTGCTCTACCACTGAGCTAAATGCCCAACCCCTAGACCCTTTTTCAAAACAATGAAAAAAAAAAAAGGGTTGTATGTATCTCATAGTTAGAGCACGTACTTGGCATGCCTGAGTCCCTGGCTTCTGTCTCCCCAGGACTAATGAACCAAACCAAACCAAGTATCTGTGAGAGCCCATAGGGAGATGACAACCCTGTGAACAGACTCCGTTCCTTTACTAGTATGGCATCATTAATTCTCTATTCAGAAAGTGGCTTAACACTATGTATGAGGTCATCAACGTCAAACACTGTGTCATAATTGTGTTCAAACATTGAAGGAGAGAAAACTGACTGCACATATAAAATTCAGTTACAGTGTGGTTTGGGTCCCACTGGCGTGGTGGTGAACTCCTGTAAATCAACACTTGGGAGGTTGAAGCAGGAGGATCACAAGTTTGAGATCTTGCTTCAAGAAACCGTGGGGGATTTGTGTGGGCTGTGGGATTTGGGTTTACTTTTGGTTGTTCTTTGAGGTGGGATCTTATACTGTTTGGATGGTGGAAGCAGTGACAATCCTCCTGCCTCAACCTCAGGTGCTGGGACAATAGGTGCCAGCCACCAAGCCTTAGGAGGAAAGAAATGTATTTTGTATCCTCATTGTTTTCGGACACAATTTGCTTTCCTTCTCTAGCAATGGTGGATTAGAAGAAGGGAAACCTGTTGACCTGGTTCTTAGCTGTGTGGACAACTTTGAAGCTCGAATGGCAATAAACACAGTGAGTGTTGGCTAAGGGGTTGCAGCCCTGGGTTTACCTGAGTGTTCTAGCTAAAAACAGTTCCAAGTTTAACCTGTCTTCACAGCCTGCTTTTCAAATGTGTGCTAAGAGCTTCAGGCCCTGCCTCTCCCATGTTACAATGTCTCACTCTCTCACATATAAAGTAGCAGATGTTTCTGCTGTGTGGTTTTAAAGTAAATGAATGTTTTTATGACACTTATTCTAGTCACCATTGGGTTTTCATTACATTCATTTAGTGTGTGTGTGTGTGTGTGTGCGCGTGCGCACGCGCGCGCGCCACCATATCCCCGTGGGCAACTTGCAGGAATTGGGTCTCTCAGTGAGATGAGACCACGTGGGACCTAGGGATCGAACTCAGGTCATCAGGCTTGTGGCAAGCACCTTTACCCACTGAGCCCTCTTGCCAGCTCACCATTGGTTTTAACTTTTTGTCTTACTAGGATTAAATATATAAATTGTAAACATTTCCTAAAGATAAAATGTTTTTCTTTTGAATCACTTTTAAATGATTCTTATGATTTTTGTATTGCTGACGTTTTAGAAAAATACGTTTTTACGTTAATCTGAAGAAATCTAGAGAGTAGTGGTTCGATGTAAGGAATGGGTGCATACTGCTTCTAGAGTACCAACACTTTAACTCAGCTGTTGCAGCTCTTCTCTCTGACCCCGAAACCCTCAGGATCTGTGTACTAACACCTGCTTTCCACAGAGGAGGTTGCCAGTGATTTGTGATGTTTTGTGTTTTTGTCTTTTCCTGATAAGGCTTGTAATGAACTTGGTCAGACGTGGATGGAATCTGGGGTCAGTGAAAATGCAGTTTCTGGGCACATCCAGCTGATGATCCCTGGAGAGTCGGCTTGTTTTGCGGTAGGCCCTGTCTTCAGCCTCTTTCACTGTTAGAATCAGTGATCTCCGTAGTTGATGTCTACAGTTGAGAGGAACGGGAGTGTGCCGGGGTACCATTGGAGCATCCCTCCCCTGTGCTGTCTGAGATGGGTGTGCTCTTTCCATCAGTGTGCGCCACCGCTCGTGGTTGCTTCAAACATTGATGAGAAGACCCTGAAACGAGAGGGCGTCTGCGCGGCCAGTCTCCCCACCACCATGGGAGTAGTTGCGGGGATCTTGGTACAGAACGTATTAAAGTAAGTGAGGGCCGACGTTTCTGAAGAGTTTCGTGTGCTGTTGATGAAGTGTGTTTCATGAAATACTCCAAGAACTGATATTGTCAACTAAGTAGTTATCCTAAACTTAAATTTTCTTTAATGTTTATTATACATACGTGGACTTTTATTAGCATTACGTGTGTGTGTGTGTGTGTGTGTGCTTGCGAGTGTGCTCATGCATGTATGTGAGTGCGTGCACGCATACATGTTTGTTTAAATGTCAGTTATAACTCTTGTTAAATGATACAGCATTGCTCTGTATACCCAGTCCTATTTCCCCAGGCAAGAGGGCTGTATTATGAGAATGCATCACTGGGCATTTTCAACATAGTGCAAATACAATGCACTTCAGAGGTAGCCGACCAGAAACCCCGTGGGACCACTGTAGCCGGTGTGGTCTTCTGCTGATTGAAATGTGTGACACGTGACTCTCGGAAGGATTATACAAATGAGGTGAAGCTGTACTGACGTAGACAGTGGGTGGAGACCACAGCACAAACACACTTGCTTCTGCTCATCCGCTCTCCCTAAAAGTCATTCAGATGTGATCAAACCAGAAAACACTTCTGTTACCCAAAACCAGACTCTGCCAATGTGCGTTTTAACTATAGCTACAGATGAGGGAAACAGGTTTTGTACAGCTAACGTTTTTGTCAGCTTATGAACCAATTCTCTCTAAAAGCAGAGTCCTTTAGAGTTCCCTAACTTTGGCTAATTTTTGTCCCTCTTCAGGCTTAGTACCCTAGTTTTGTCTCCTCAGTCTCCAGTAAATCACAGACTTCAGTGTGGTAAATGAGGCACCCAGTATCAGAGGTGTAGCTCCAGCAGAAAGGTCATAAAAATGTGTACAAGAACTCAGAAGTGTGAACTAGGGCTGTGGTATAAGAGCAAGTGGCCTGTCTAAACACCAGTAGCTACTAAGAACACTTTATAATATTGTACAAAAAGGGAAAACAGTCCTGGCTACAGAAACATTCCTCTCCGGGTTCCTCTATTAACGTACATTTAGGCCTTACACACTTTTATTATTGCTATTACCAATGCTGCAAACAGCATCTTACATAGGTACTTTAATACTGAATTTATGTATGGTGTGTGTTTCTGCAGTTTATTTCAACAAATGCCACCTGTTTTTCTTGGAAGGGGATTATACTGTCCATCAAAGACTCAGGGTACTTGGCTCACACATGCTGTCAGAAACATTAGTATCATCAAACTCTTAAAGCTTTGTCAGTCTGAAGAATAGCTATTCCAATTTCCACTTAGTTGTAAAAAAGGATTAGGGACTTAGGATTTTTTTCTATGAATGATCATTGTGCTTTCATCTGCTGTTTTTTTTTTTTTCTTGTTATATATTTAGAACATGTATTTTCAAAAAGTTTTTTCTTGTCATTTGTTATGTTAATGTGTATAAGTTATATGTTTGTGTGTGCATACATTCATGTTTGTGTGTGTGTGCAGGCATGCACCTGTGCTGCTCGTGAGGAAGTCAGTGGATAGCCTGCTAGTCCTCACCTTCCGCATCCTTTGAGATAGGATCTTTTATTGTTCACCTCTGCATGCTCTAGGATAGCTGGTCTAGTTGCTTGCGGGGACTCTCCTGTTTTTCTCCCATCTTGCTGTAGGAGCACTGGAGTCACAGTCATGCACAGCTGTCAGGCTTCTACATGGAGTCTGGGGATTTGAACTCCGGTCCTCGTGTTTGCATGGGAAGCGCTTTGCCCACTCAGCCATCTCCCGGCTCTCACTGAGTTTTCTGCACAATCTTCTGTACAGAAGCTGTCATAGTTAGGGTTTCTATTGCTGTGATAAAACACCATCGCCCAAGCAACTCATGAAGGAAAGGGTTTATTAGACTTACACTTCCGAATCTTAGTCCATTATTAAGGAAGTTAGGGCAGGAATTCAAGGCACCTGGAGCAGGAACTGAAGCAGAGGCCGTGGAGAAGTGCTGCTGCCTGGCTTGCTCCCCATGGCTTACTTAGCCTATTTTTAACACATTCCAGGGCCACCTGCCCAGGGTTGTCACCACCCATAGTGAGCCGGACACGCCCACATTAATCATTAATCACAAAAATGCCCCACATACTTGTCCACAGACCCGTGTGATGGGGAACGTTTTCTCTTCACAGATGATCCAGCTTATGCTGAGTTGTCAAAACCCAACCCAGACAGCAGCTTTTCAATAGAGTGGCATTTGACAGGGAGGGGTCACGATGGAGCTTTATGGGTGTTGGAAGTGCTCTCTGACTTCCCCGGACGCTACTCACATCAATGACTTAGTGTAGTTTACGTAGTTTATAGTGGGATACATCAGTTTTGAAAATAAGGTTTAGTAGCACATCTCAGATTTTTGTCTGTGTGTTTGGGGGGTATGCATGTATGCACATGTGTATGAAGTATGCTTTTCTGTGCATCCATATATGAAGGGCAGAGGGCAATGCTATGTCTTTACTGTATTTCTTTACATTTAAAATGACTTCTGCTGAATTCATTATTGACAGTTTCATGCATGTATGATGTACATTCTGATTACTGTAACCTCTTCTCCACTTTCTCTACTCTCCTTCTCCCCCTATTACCCCCTAAAAATCTCCTCCTCACGTTCATGACTTTGTTGTTGTTCTAAGACCCTCTAAGTTTAGCCTTGATTATCTGTGTGACCATGGGTTTGGAATGTCCACTGGTGCCTGGTGGGCACTCAGTGGGCACACAGCAGAAGACAGTGACTGCCCTTCCCTCAGAACCCACCAGTGGACAGAGGTTCAGCAGGGACAAGGGGTAGGGCCCCATAAACCCCTCCCCGACCCCTGATTGACTGTTGATATGTCCAGAGCTGTGTAGGCCCATTGCAAACAGCCACAGCTGCTGTGGGGTCATGACTGCAGTGGTGGTGCCCTGCGCAGGAGACAGTAGTTTTAGCCCTTTCCCTGTCCTCTGCAGTGTTCGCTGAGCAGTGTGGAGTGGTGTAAATGTCCTGCTTAGGACTGAGCACTCGGCCATCACTTATCCTCAGCACCTGGAGCAGCCGTGTGTCTGTGTGTTCATTGCTGTTCATTGCAGAGAGGCTAGGAGCATGTCTCTGGGTAGAAGCTTAAATACTCAGAAGACAGTCTGCTGCCACAGGCTTACCGAAACAGCAGTACTAATTGGCCCCTCGGCCTAAGACTTTAACCATGGGTTTCTGACTGCATTTACAGTACTAGTTTGAATTTCCTCTTGAGGAGCAGGCCTCAAATCCAGTCAGAGTGGCTGGTTCTCACCCTACACCTCTGCCAACAGTAGTGCCGTCACTCCCCCAGTGGGCACATCTTGCCTGGCAGGCCGGTATTATTGAATGTAGGGTTTTCAACTAGATAGGGCCGTTGGTGCCTTTTCTTCCCAGCAGCCTGTGCAGCACCTTCTGGCACTACAAAACTAGCCAATGGGAAGAGGATTCTAGCTCACTCTCAGCTTCATTTCTCTATGCCTTGCATCCAAGATGTGTTCCACATTATTTTTTTTGAGACAGGGTCTCTTACTGATCTAGGACTCACCATTTTGGCTACACTGGCTGTACAGCAAGGCCCTGAGATCTACCTGTCTCCATCTGTCTCTCCCTCTCAGTTCTGGGATTATAAGCTTATTATGCCATGGCTGCCGTTTTATGTGGGTGCTGGGGATCCAGACTCAGGCTCACATGCTTCTGCAGCAAGTACTTTAACCACTGAACCGAGCCCCTAGCTCAGGTTTTAAAAACACATCTCTCCTACTGCAGGTTCTCTAAGGTCAGTATGCTTCTTTGGAGCTTAGCATGCCATACTTTACTTGCCAGCAGCTTATCTTTATTAGAGGGTCAAAAATAATAGCTCATTACACAGTGATGAAAGGTAGTATACTTTTCCTTCCTTCCTTCATTCGTTAAACAAATATTCAAGGAGCCAAGTTTTATAAATAAGGTAGAGAAAGTTGCTGTTTTCTAGGTTATTTGTTATAAAATTCATTACCCACTCCAAAATCTCTTTTATAAATTCACTTACTTCTAGTCCCTTTTTTCTTTATTAAGTATAATTTGATTTTCTTTTTTCTTTTGAGATGGGGTCTCACTATATATCCCCTGGCTGGCCTGGAACTCACAGAGGTCCGCCTGCTCCTGCCTCCCAAATGCTGGGATTAAAGGTGTGCACCACCGTGCTTGACTAATTTAATTTAATTTTTCAGGTTTCTGTTACGTTTTGGCACCGTCAGTTTCTACCTTGGGTACAATGCAATGCAGGACTTTTTCCCTACCATGTCCATGAAGCCAAACCCTCAGTGTGATGACAGGAACTGCAGGAAGCAACAAGAAGAATACAAGGTACAAGCAATCGATGCATCGATCGGTCAGGAAGTTGAAGGTCACACTGCCTAGGACAGTACATTTGAAAAGAAACAGATTTGGAATAGAATATAATGGGTTCTGGGTTTTTATAGTGTTAGTTCATTTAGCATACTTCAATACAAAAACCCGTTCTTGCTTTTGGTAATGTGCATTTTGTGGAGTCCTGCAGAGAATGGAGAAGCAGTAATGATGGTTGGTACTGTTTGCTTTATACAGAAGAAGGCCGCGACACTGCCCGTACCGGAGGCCACGCCCACGGAGGACGAGGAGATCGTACATGAGGACAACGAGTGGGGTAGGGGCCTTCCTGTGCTGGACTCGCGCCGGACTCACACCGGAAGCACACTCTGTTCTGGGAGGGAGTATAAGATGACAAAGCACTTCAGATTATTCTCACAGTGTTTTCTGGGAGGGAGTATAAGATGACACAGCACTTCAGATTATTCTCACAGTGTTTTCTGGGAGGAGAATGTAAGAGTGCACACAAATGTAAGTGATGCTTACAGTCTTCTTGAGAATGAGCACAAGGTCACATTTACTCCTACAGGTATTGAGCTGGTGTCTGAGGTTTCAGAAGAGGAACTGAAGAACTCTTCAGGTCCCATTCCCGTCTTACCCGAAGGAATTACAGTGGCATACACAGTCCCAAAGAAGGTATTTGTGAAATCTGATTGCCCATATGTAAATATCAGATAAGAGAAAAATATGTATTTCTCTTTTTTCAGCTTCATCTTACGTCGGAAAGCTAGTGAGGTGTTTCCTGCCTAGATATCTGTGCAGTCGGCCTTGAGGTGCTGAGAAGTATTCAGTGTCAGCATGGAGACAGGCACAGCTCATTGGAAACTGAGAAAGTAGAGACTTCTAAAAATCTACGGATATCAAGTATAATAAATAGTGGTTAAATTAAAGTATTACTTTCATATTGATAATTCTAGCCACAAACCCATTTACAAGTACTTCTGGAAAGGGTGATGGAATGTGCCTATGATCCTAGCACACAGGAATCTGAAGCAGGAGATACACAAGTTAGAGATGAACCTGGATACATAATAAGAACCTGGAAGCAGAGGTCATAGGTGGGAGGTTAGGGGTGGTGGGTGAGAGAGAGAGAAAGAGAGAGCATGCACATGAATAAACCTACAGAAATACAGACTTTCTCAAGTGAAGACATACAGAGCAGGGGCTGGAACCACCAGACAAAAGATACACAGATAGGCAGTAGGTATTGAAAAGTTGCTGAACATTATTAATCATCAGGGGCATGCAGATCTACACCAGTGGAGTACATCCCACTCCAGTGAAAAGGTAAAAGGATGTGCAGAAAGGGAGCCTGGAGTGTAATAATGCATTGCTACCAGGAATGTCAATTAGCTCATCTATTCTGAAAACAGAATGGAGGCTCCTCAAAAAACTAAAAGATGACATATGTGATATATGTGAGCCAACAGTCTCATGGGGAGGGGTGTATGTCTAAAGTATATATAGCCAAAATGCTCACTGACTGATAAAAGATACACACACACACACACACACACACACACACACAGTGGAACACTTGAGCCACAAGAGGATAACAACCTGTCATTTGTGGCAAGACAGATGGAATTGGGAGTAATTAAGTAAAATAAGATGGCACAGATGGACAAGCACCACATGGTCTCACTCATATGTGGACTCTGAAAGGTTTGATGTGATAGAAGTTGAGAGTCGAGCTGTGCTTCCAAGGGTGAGTGGGGGGCGGGGGGAGGAGGCTGGCCAGCAGCTTGTAAGTTACAGCTAGCTAGGAACACTGAGCTCTGGTGACTGTCGTAGAAGGGGTGGCTGTAGGTAGTCACTGTTATATGTTCAGAAAGATAGAAGGAGTGATTTTTGAATGTTCTAATTATAAAGAAATGGTTTGAGGAGATAGGCTTATCCTGGCATGAACATCACATAATATATACATATACCATAACTTCATGGTCTGCAATAAATAAGTGTAGTTTTATATTAATAATACACTCAGTAGAAATGTCAAGAATATTGAAGTTGCTGCCTCCTAAACAGAATTTTGGTGGGGAATATAAAAAACTTTATTTTCTCTAATTATTTCAAAATGTACTTATCAGAGAAAAGTCAGCTTTTTAAGCATGCTGAGCATGGGTAAAGCAAACTGTTAAGGACAAGTGGTTTTGTATGGCTCTGTTTTCATTGCATTTCCCCCTTTTGTTGACAGCAGGAGGATTCTGTTTCTGAAGTAACAGTGGAAGATTCCGGTGAAAGCTTGGAAGATCTCATGGCCAAGATGAAGAACATGTAGACAGTGGACTGGCATTTGTTTTATTTTCTGTGCTCATTCTATTCCCTTGGAATTAAAAAAAGAATCAGAACTAATAAACCTAGGGCCGCCTTAACTGGCATGTGAATCTTCACTGAGTGTCATGCTGTATGGAACACTAGTGGTTGCTTCTGGCTTCCCTCTACAACTGAATCAGTAATGCTCCTACAGAAAGGAAAGGAGAGGCCATCCCATCCCATAATTTCCTTTACAGTAATTCCCTGTCTATGGACTGAGGCCCTGGACTGTAAGTACAGATGAAGGATGAGATCTTTACCCTGGCAGCTGTGGCTAGCAAGTGTCTGAGTGTCTGAATGGCTTCCTACCAGTTACCCATGAGTGCTGATCTGACCAGGAGTGATGTTAGAGAGTCAGCCTATAGAATAAACATCCCTTCAGATGTTTCTTGGTGAGATACAAGTAGAATGTCTTCATTGGCATGTCTAAATGAGTTAAAGATTTAAGAAAAAGCACAGATAAATGCAAGCTGTCTTCATGGGCAGACAAGTATGTTCAGGAAAAACCATCATTGTATTCTAATTTTTACCGACCAAGGAAAAGGCATTGCCTTCTGTAACAGAAGTGCCTGGAGTTACCATGTGACTCAAGAACAGGCATGAGCACAGTGCATTATATAGACTGTGTACATTATATAGACCATCTACATCATGTAGACTGTGTACATCATGTGGACCGTGTACATCATGTAGACCGTGCACATACATCATGTAGACTGTGTACATCATGTAGACCGTGTACATCTTGTAGACTGTGTACATCATATAGAACAAGTACATCATATAGACTGCTCCTGAATATTTCATTTCACCTTGATTCCCTAAACAGGGAGATGTTAGCAAGGTTTGTCCTGAGTAGTGGGCAAAATGAAGAACTGGAAATTACCTCTGCAGTGACTGATGAGTATTTATTCCCTGCAAAGGTTTCCATGGCCCAACTATGACCACTTAAATTGTAAACTGATGAATGACGTAAATTATTGATGAGTTTTATCTTGAGGATATGAAATGACTTTATGAATGTCTAAATTGTGTGTATTGGGAAATGCTAGCTAAAGTTCAAAGTGTCATTCCTTACTTGTAAAATAAAGTTGTAAAGACCAACTCCAGGCATAAGTTTAATGTACTAGCTTTGAGATTCTAGGATTATATGTGACTTTTTTCATGTTTATAGAAGTCAAGAAGGGTATGTGCCTAACTTTGAAACTTACATTTATGTTTCCTCGGTAAATTTTTATAACTATTTTTTTTTTTTACAGAACTTAGCGTATTAGATTGGAGAATAACTTTTCAAATCACTAGACATGCTTTAAATTTTTTAAATGAATTTTTTTTTAAGAATAATTCTTTAGAAATACTGGTCCATGAATTTTCTAAGGCTTACTTGAAATTGTTGAACTTTCAGGTTTGGTTAAGGTATAATATATAGGATCCACTGACTTCTAAAGATCTGCTCTTTTTGGTATCTTAGGCTGTCCTGGATTCTAATGTATCTCACTCTTATCCAGTATCTTTCATTAGAAACTACTGGATTATCATCTCAAAAATAACTAAATACAATCTGGTGGCAGGCACCTTTTGATCCCATATTGCTCTCCCCATAGTCTGTGGCCACAGAGACTAAGGGGCAGTGGCAGTGGCTGAGAACTAACACACTGCATCATGAATTACCACGTAGAGGTTTGGCTGGATGTGTAGATGCTGTGACTCCTAGTGAGAAAGGCCAGCAGCCCCAATACCGTTTTAACTGATTCTAGAATCCAGAGTCTAGATGGCAGTAAAACCATTCATCACTTTGTTTCTTTTGTTAACAGAAAGGCAATCTGTGCTTCTGCTCAGGTTTTTGTATTTTTCTTCTCATGAAAATACTCCCTGACACCCACAAATGTGGGCCAATATGAAAAGGCAATAACTCTAAGAATATGTCAGAGAAGCTTTGACTGCATCAAATCACATTTTTGTTTTTCCAATTTTCCTATATGTAAAGTGCTGAGGACAAGTTTTAGCAAAATTTGGCTCTTACCAATTGTTTATGAGGGACTTGTCTGAAAATTGCCATTTTGCTGTGGAGGTGTATGTTAACGTGAACATAAGAATCACATCTATGTTAACATGAATGTAACTTGAAAATCTTATAACTATGTTAACATGAACATAATCTGAGAATAACATCTATGTTAACATGAACATAATTTGACTGTTCGAATTACAGATCTACACACAAATGTTTGTTACAGTTGCTTTTATCTTAGGCATTCTCATGAAGGCAAACAGTTAGTACAGTAAATAATGAGACAAAAATAATAGATAAAATAATTTTATTATATACTTAATTTGAAATATATAATTTAGAGTGACCACCTCAGTCACTTAACCCTTAAGTTTTAAAAATATTTTTGTAAAGTTCTCAAATCTAAATTTTAGAAGAGAGAATAAATATGTTTTTTTGAAGATTCTTTTAGAGTACTGATCACAAAGTTTTTAAGGTGTTAAACTTAATACTATACTTTCAGTGTATTAAATCATGAAATAATCAGATTTTGAGCTCTGATAAATGAGTTGTAAAATCAATATTTAATATGTTCACGAATTCAATTATTTGTACCTTTCACGGGACAAACCCCAAGAGATAGGTTACACTCATATTTTAGCTTTTTTCCTCCTGAACCTTGACCCTCCCCCAAAGGATGGAAGAGGAATGCTTCTTTTGTGCATTCCTGTCTAATTTAAGTCGCCATCACAGTGTCTAGATTGTAGCAGTGCTTCTCAAGCTAACAAGCTCAGGAGTTCCCTGGACACCTAGCTCTCGGGCTGCTTCTGAGTGGCTCAGGTGAGGCCTCGCAGACTGACTGTAAGTTCTGGATGGCGATGACGCTGGCTACTGCATCCCCTGGGGAAGTTGCATGACATTGGGCATAGCCTGCAGTCACCAGAGTTCTTCACTTCATCAAACTACTGAGTAAACCTGGCCAGTATTCAAGTCTGCTAAAACATAGTCAATGTTTATTTTAAAATAATTATGCAAAGTGTAGCCCCCAGTACAGAGTGTAAAAAAGAGAACTTGGCAATTGCACTTTTTATTTTAAGACAATGGAATACAATTTCTATATCATCTTTATAATAATACATATTGAGATCTTACAAGATTTAAAATTGATGAAAATTTTACTATAAATATACAAATAAAAACTAATGTGGCGATATTATAAAATCTATAAAAATATTTAATTCTCAGTATAAAAATGACATAATTGACTGAGGTAAAGCAAGATTGATTTAGACCATTTAGGAGAGAAATAGGATTGTCATGGCTTTTTTTGTGTGCTGAGGACTAAACCCAGGGTCTGATGCATACTAGCACTGTGTCCCCAGCTCTACTTTTTAATTTTGTGACAAGGTCTCACTAAGTTGCCCAGGCTAGCCCTGACCTTGAGAACCTCCTGCTTCATCTTGTGAGTAGCTAGGAACCAGGCCTGTACCACAATAAGATCAGAATGGTACAGAGCCTGGCACCTGTGGGTGCCCTCCGACACTGTGCAGCACAGCACAGTGATAAACTTCCCCGAAGACAGCACAAAAAAGGGGCTGACTAGATCAGCTTAGGGAAAAGGAAGACTCGAAAGCAAAGCCAGCTGTGGTGATCCCAGCACCCAGGAGGCCAAGGAGGAATGAGTTCATGGTCAACCTGAGCTACACAGACTCTCACATACACAGTAAGAGGCTGGGATATAGCTCAGTTGGTAAAGCATTCGCCATGTAAGCATAAGGACCCAAGCTCAATCTCCAGAACCCCCTTTAGAAAGCTGGGCATAGGATTGGAGGCTTGTAATACTGTTTCGGGAGGTGGAGACAGGTGGATAGAGTACCAGGATGCTGGAAGACCAGTCAGCCTAGCTAAATGAGCACCAGGTCACTGAGACCCTGTCTCAAAAGAACAATCAAGGTGGACAGCAACTGAGGAATGATACCAAGGCTGACCTCTGACCTCCACATGTACATGCCCATGTGTGTGCATGTCCTCACATACAAACTCAGAAAAAGGAAAACAAGAATTCCTATCTGGTTTGTTTCACTGAAGACTGTTGAGACCATTCGTAAACATTTCTTTGAGGTAGAGAACTGGGTCAAACCCCTGCTGAAAACAAGACCAGTGAATGGCAGGGCTAAGGCTGCTCTCAAGGAGCAAAAGAATCATGGAATTCTTAAACCATGGGCTCCTGCCAGCTCTTGTTGCAGAGACCAACCCACTCCTCATGCTATTAGAGTGCTGACGTCTACACCCTGGATCTCATCCCATACGAAATGGGTTATTTAATCAATTTAAACTGGACACAACAATTAAGTGTAATCCAATACAACTTCATGCAAATACCAGTTAAATAACACTAAGTAGGAAAATGATTTTCTTTAAAACATGGTTTTGAATTCAGATGTTACAGATGTTTGTTTTATCCTGAGGTATTCTTGCAAAAAATTGGCACTGTTACCTTTGTCCTTGGGGAAGGAAAATATTAGGAGAATGAGTTGTTTTAAAGATAACCGTGTCTCCACTTGATGACTGCCTTGAAGGAGCTTTTCCACCCAAAAGCGATGTCTCTGCTTCTTTTATTTCCATTGCCCTTTTGTACAGTTCAGCAGCCTTTTCAAAATTCCCTTCTTCATAGCTTTGAGGGGAAAAGACATGAGATACACTGTTATTATCAAGAAGCAGCTCTCCCTTCTAAATATCTATTCAATGAAGACTGAGTTTTCTCATCCTGGCAGCTGCTTACAAATTATCACATAGAGGCTTTTATTAATGGTAAATGCTGGGCTGGTAGCTCAGGCTTGTTACTAGCTGACTCTTACATTTAAATTAACCCATATGTCTTAACTGTGCTCTGTCACATGGGTTGGTACCTTTTCTCAATATGGCATGTCCATCCTGCTTCTCCCTGTGTCTCCTTGTAACTCCTCTGACTCTGCCCTTCTTCATCCCATCATTCTCAGTTTGGCTTTCCCGTCTGATTTATCCTGTTCAGCTATTGGCCAGTCAGCTTGTTTATTAAACCAATCATAGTGACATATATTCACACAGTGTACAGAAGGACCATTCCATAGCAATCCAAGATACAGAAAAAACAAGTTGCAAATAATTTCCCATTCCTATTGCACTTTCTTTCTCCTCAGGTAGACCAGTTAGCCAGGGTTCCCAAACTCATCTATCTACACTCTGGAATAGTATGTCTCTTGCATGTGCACCACCGAGACCATGTTGTAATGGGTTCAGTAAAAAATGCTAACAAGTGTTATTATCATCTGTATCCCAAGATGAACACACAGGAGTGAGAGAAACTCATCACACACTTAACTCATCAGCTCTGAGGTCAATAAGCGGCCCTATCACCCCAGAGGCAGTTAGCAGTTTAAGCCATCTTCACTTTGGCCACAATACACACCTCCGAAAAGTAAGCTGTCCTCACCCTGCTTCTGAGTAGCACTTGAGTATCTAAAGCTACATGAAACCAAAGCAACTACTCCCCCTCCAGGAAAGACTATTTTCAGTAATAAATATTTCATGCTGTTCTGTGAAGGATCAAAACTTATTATAGAACTGGGATAGATGAGAAGACAGGAAAAGTTCTTACCTGAGCACAGCTAAATTTTTTAATGTTTCTCCAACTCGAGGATGCATCCGCCCCAAGCTATCTTCATAAATCTTTAATGCTCTTTCATAAAGTGGCAGGGCTTCACTGTGCTTTTTCTTATTAAAAAAAGTAATAGTGCTCACTTAAATACACTGTTTATGAAATTCCTATTAATGCATTCTATACTGAGCTGACCTACTTTGGTCAGCTCTTTAAAAAATCTTAATATCCTCCTAAAAAATACAAGTAAACATTATTTTATGAACAATTATAACTGGAGAAGCAGTACAAGAGGAAGTAAAAACTCCTGTAACTTTTAGACTTGTCCTCACACCAATCTGACCCAAATCCATAATATAAACCCAATCCTGCTCACGGCCTGGTGGGTACTTAGGCAGATGCCCCGAGACTGTCCTGGGGGTGACAGGGGTCTCCAGAAGGTGAAAAGCAAACCTGAACTCAGCAGTCAGCTGGTGC